CTTGAGATTGATAACGAGAAACAGGCCGCTGTTTGCGCCTCATCGAGCATTTCAAACCTGACAGGTGGAATCCAATTTTCCGTCGCCGCTGCAATTGATTTCCGGGCTTATTCTGGGGAGATCGCCCTGGACGGCGGGGAAGTTATCCTCTGCCAGGACGAGAGTCCAAGTGCAATTGGCCAATTGATAGTTTGACGTGTATCCAAGAGTCTTCACCATGCTTGTTTCCCCGGTCGAGACTCGCCAGTGTGCGCGTTCCAAGCACTGTCAGCAGCGGGGATTCTCTCCCGACTTGTTCGATCCCCGTCTCTGCCCCCGCAATTTCTCCAGATTTCTCCAGAAGCACAATTAACGCGTTGGTCATCGTCTGGAGCGAAGAGACAATATAAGAGACGGCGACCCGGGCGACCTTCATGCTGGAGCGCTGACACTCGGCGTCGGGCTTCGTGACGAAATCTGCATAGTCAAGGCAAAATGAAGTCTTATCTGTTGTTCCTTGCGGTGATTCTGCAGGCCGTGCTTGGACGAACGGCTGCATTGCATTCCTCATCTCGTCGCGCTTGTCAGACCTCCTTGAGAAACTGTCCTGATGGAACAATCATCGTCTCCAAGTCTCATCCCAAGGCCCAGTTCTCCACGGTTCAGGCTGCTATCGAATCTCTGCCGAATGACAACAGCAAGCAGACCATTTTGATACTGGCAGGCAACTACACTGAGCAGCTAAATGTCACCCGTTCCGGTCCTATAACCCTGCTTGGTCAGACCGACTGCGTCACCGATGCCTCGAAGAACAAGGTCACCATCACCTGGGCCCAAGCGAACCACGACAACACCGGAAAGAGCGTAGACAATGTCTTTTCCAGCGTTCTGGTTGTTGCACCTACACTCGAGGCCAGCTACAGCGGCTCGGGGCCAACGGGGTATCCGGTGCCGGAGGATACGCCGTTCGGTAACGTCGATTTCAGCGTCTACAACATCGATTTCCGCAACACATGGGCCGATTACTCCGATGGACCGGCGCATGCCCTCAGCTTCAGTCGCGCCAACGGCGGCTTCTACTACTGCGGATTCTACTCTTACCAGGATACTGTATGTCTCTTACGCAGGCTCCTAGTCGGTTGTAGGGACGGAACAAACTGACCATGCACAGGTGTACGTTGGCAAGCTAGGAAACGCCTACTTCTATAAGAACATCATCGCCGGCCAGACCGACTTCCTGTACGGCTTCGGTACTGCCTGGATCCAATCGTCGGACATCCTCCTGCGCAATTGCGGCGGCGGTATCACCGCGTGGAAGGGCACCAACACCACGTTTGAGAACCAGTACGGCGTGTACATTGTCGATTCAACTGTGAGAGCGGCGAACGCATCTATTGCCCCGGTGATTGCGGGCCAATGTGCTCTGGGCCGGCCATGGAACAGTCTGCACCGGTCCATCTTCGCCAATACCTACGAGGATGGCAGTATCGAGCCCAGCGGCTACATCGATTGGGTGGTCTCTGGCGTGAGCCGATTCACCAATCAGACAGTCATGGCCGAATACAAGGCGTTTGGACCCGGGTTCAACGCGACAGGCCGTTCACAAGGCGGGTTCACCATCGTCATGGACAAGAAGAAGTACACGCGCTACGACTCGCCGGCGAAGGTGTTCCAGACGCCGGACGGCAAGCCGGGAAACATCGGCTGGATCGATTTCCACGCGGATCACGTCTAGTTCCATCTATGGCGACGTCAAAAGCTTAGATATCTACGAAGTAGACTTACACGAATGAACTCGATACCACTCAAGTCTATATCCCAAAACAGATCTATGCCGTCCCACTTCCCCCCGCATAAACCCTCTGCCCCTCCCCAATAAGATTCCCATGCCCGCTCCTCGTCCTCTCCATCGACTTCTTCGTCTCCCTCGCCGCCAGCTCCCGCTGCACCTCGCCCAATTGGTGCATCCGCGCCAGATACGCCGCCCCGGTATCAGCCCACACGCGGTACTCCTGCACCTTCAAACCGCCCCCTCCTGCCCCCTGATCCTCCGCCAGCCCAATCCGATAACAGAACGTCTCATCCCACTCCTCGCCTGTCTCCTTCCATGTGAACCGCGCCCGCCCCCGCAGCGAAACAGCCATCGACACCGTATCAACAATCCACTCCTCCTCCCCGTCGAAGCTCATCTTCTCGAAGGAGAGCAAGTCCGCAATGAGCTCGAAGTATCGGCCCACCCCGTCTGTGCCGGTGAATGTGCGGCCCAGGAACGGTGCGAGGACGGGGAGCCCGTGCTCGTGGACCATGGGGAGGGGGTCCGCTGTGAAATGGCTGAGGAGGACGGGGACGGGGGCTGCGGAGGCGAAGGCGTCGCAGAGGGCTAGGGTGGGTTGGATTAGGGAGCTGCGGGTGTAGGTTTTTGGGGTGGTCATTTTTCTTTTGATTTTTGGGTTGGGGGCTGCTTGCGATAAGGTTGATGGAGATGGAAACGCGATGTGATTTTGTACCTCTTGCTTGAGGATGGTGTGGAGCGGAGCTGCGTTGTGTTGACTTACATAACTATGACGTCTGTATTTACTTGAGCATCGGGTCTGAAATATGTTGAGGTGGTGAAACATAAACAGAAAAAGCCTGAGTAACAGGTTGTATCATTGGCTGAAGCGTATTATAGCTGTCTACCGTCTTGTGTGCTGTGCGGATGCAGTACAGATGTCCTCGATCTACTCAATCAGCTAGTATAAAGAGAACCCGAGTTGAAGAGGAACAGAATAATCAGAATGAAAGTCATCATGGGCTAGCCCTCCCACGCCCATGACGAGACAAAAACAACCGTCTTTTACCACTCAAACTCCGTGCCTATCGGCAATAGAACCAGAAAGGCCTGCGTGCGAGGCCAACAAACGAAAAGAAACACCGAAGACAAAAATCACTGCCGCCACGATTTACCACAGTTCATACACGTACAGAACAGGGTCATCGGTTCATCTGCACTGCGTGTTTGCGCCTCGGTGTAGGTGACCTTGCGTTGTCCGCACTTGCCGCACTGCAGACTGGTGCTGATACTGCGCTCGGCCTGCGCGACCATAGCCTTGTCCATGTTCTCCTTCTGAATTTTGCGGTCCTGTTCGCGCTGTTCCGCCGATTTGAGCTCATCGTGCGACATCTTCACGAACTGCTCGGGTGTCACTTCATTCGATAACACGCGCACCCGTAGCGTCGGGTTAGATTTGTTCTTGAGGTTCTGATACAAGCTGCGAATCTTGGTGCGGTATTGCTCCTTGGTCTCCGGGCCCAAAGCGCTGAACGCCGCCGCCTCCACCGCGCAGGCCTTGGACAGCACCGCTCGAGGCGACTCGGTCGAGTTGAGGCACAACCCATCGTACATCAGGCCAATGCAACTATCCCGGATCCTGTTCGAGGTCTGATTGACATCCACCCCATCCGCCTTCCACGTCCGCTTGTCTGGGGGAACGGAGAGTTTCGACATCTTGTCCGATGGGGTTGTCCCGGCAGGCGATGCGGTGCCGTTCTGTGCTGGGCGCGGGGAGCCGCTCGAACGCTGGCTGACGGACGGTGACCCGCTGGCCTTTTGTTTGTTAACCTCGTTCCGCCATTTCGAGACGATCTCGCTGGATAGACGGGCAACCTCGGGCGACTTGTGCTGTTTGAACTTGTTGACGATGATCCCGACGCGCGTCGACCGTAGCAGATCCTCCGTTGCCTTCACTCCGGTTTGCAGCTCCTTGAGCAGTGAGACAATGTTGGCTGCAGGCTCGTTCTGGGTGGCGGCTTTCGTCAGGGCCTTCGCCTTGAGCTCGATTTCTTTCGCATCCAGCGCCATTTTGACCGATCCCGATCGTAGATTGGATGATGATAGGGAGGGGACGTGTCGTGAGATTGTACCTGCGTCAGTCTTAGCAAAACCAGAAGACCAAATCACTTGTAGATGTAGCGCATAATCAGAAACGGCCAACGATTGGTACAAGGTTTGGATGCAATGGGAAATGCGTAAAAATTGTCGCAAGTAGGCGCAACCTAATCCAACAAAATCCTCCTGCGACAGCGGTTTGCCATCACTGTCGCGGCACATCCGGCAGCACGTGCCTGAGACGGCTGTAGCTGCAAATGCTCGTATCACTTGAGCAAGAGAAACACATGCAATGCTTCTTATTAAAGCGCCCAGCTCATTCAGAAAATAACTGCAAACAGACTTGACGAAAGACAGGGAAGCAAAAGGAACTGCTGCTTCAACTCACTTCACGACGTCGGGGTCTTGTGACCCGATAATCAACGGCTTCGGGGCGAATTCCCTGGACTAGAGGGGGAGGCGAGTCTGCGACGGTGCTAGCAAAGCTGAGCAACGGAAAGACCGGTGAAGTGAGATGAAAATGGCGCAGAACTTGAAGGTGGTGGACAAGTAAATGAAGATGAAGCAATTAGTGAACCTCCGCGCCAAGACCAGCGTTGCTCTTTTCGGAAGCTCCCACGTGCCGAGTACCAAATGTATGGGGTCGTGCCCCTCAGCTTCCATGACAGCTGGAACGAGTATTAAGGCTATCATCGACTGGCTACGATTCAACATGCAGTGGCCGTTGTCATCAATTCATTCACTTTTCAACATTATATACATAAGTAGGGGTAGTAACATGCTGCTTGGGACAATCAATAGGGATGAATGGCATAAATCTATCCGCGTATCTGTGCAGTAAAAGACGCAATTGGAACGCTATGGTGAGATCAGCGCAATGAATGCAACCTGATATGGCCACTCGTAGTGGTACTTCGAAGCAGTGAGAACTCGTCGTGAGGCACTATTTGACCCATTTTCGGGTCCCCGTCGGTGCGGTGGGCTGTTCACCCATCGTTGTTGATGGCATATTGCCGCATGTCTTCCTAGACATGCCGTCGAGTATGGTCATACATCAATGACCGCTGCGAGATAAGCCTGATCGCCGCTGAGTCGGGATACTAGACAGGGCAATGGCCTGAGTAAACAGGTAATCGAGACAACTCCTCAATGTCTACAGAGCAGTCTTGTCCAGAGCCTCCGCGAGAGCATCGACATCCTTGTCCTGTCTTTGAGCGACCGTCTCGTCTTCCGCCTTCACGTTGTCCTTGAGGAACTTGTCGGCCTTGCGCTCTTCCAGCTCTTCTTCTTCGGCCTCCTCAATTTCCTCTTCCTCCTCCTCGGCTTCACTCTCCTCCTCAAGCTCATCCAGCTCATCCACACCCCACATGTCCTCCGGATCATCATCGGTACCGTGCTCCTCTTTGCGCGCCTCCAAAACCTCCTGCAACTCTGTCACATTCGGGTCGTCTTCGAAGAATTTGTTGCCGTTCAGCTCGATGCGGCGAAGAGCCGGAAGGGCGGTTTTCGTAGCGTGCAAGAATTGCTTCACACCCTCTGCCGTAATTTCGTTGTACTGCAGACGCAGAGTCTGGATGCTTTGATTCTTGCCCTCCGCCAAAGCCTGAGCGACCTTGACACCACCGCGGGCGGATAGCAGGCAGTCGCCGACGCCGAGTTCACGCAGAGAGGGCCATCCAGCCACAACACTGGCGAGAGCAGTAGATCCCATGATGGTGAACGTGTTGTCCTGCAAGTCCAAAACCTCCAGGGCGCTAGCGTGACGGAGACCCTCCTTCAAAAGCAGAGAGATACCCTCCTGACGAATACCGTTCTGTGTCATCTTGACGGAGCGGATGCCAGCGGCGTGTACCTTGTAGGCACGTGCCCAGGCTTCCATACTGCCATTCTCCAATCGGTTCCGTCCGCAAACAATGCTTTCCAGAAGAGGAATCTCCTCGCCGGCCTTGCGGGCCTCCTCCTTGCGCTCCGCAAGTTTTGTGAGCGCATCCGCAATAAGCGTACCGGCAGCGGGACCCAACCCGTTATTATTCAGGATCAGATGGCGGAGGGGCACGTGGCGGGAGAGGAAATCGACGAGGGGCGCTTGGGTGTTCAGGCCGAACGCGTTGTCGGAAAGGTTGACGGTGTGGAGAGTTTTGATCTCAAGCAGCGCATTGAGAAGGGCAGTCAGAGCCTGGGGGATTTCGGAGAGCAGGCGCGAGGTGAAGATATCAGCGAGGTCGGCGACTTCGAGGTTCTTCTGCGAAGCAAGTACGGGGGCCAGGCGTTCCGAGGCTGGTACACCGAGGGTGTTACCACCCAGACGAATCTCCGTGAAATCAGTGCTTTCAATCAATGGCTTGATATGKGCCTCGATATCTTCAGCAGTGTCTAATTTGAGGCCTTTGCCCTCAAGTGAAAAGACCTTTGGAGGGGCCATGGTGGGGTAGTTTCAGGGGCAAACAAAAAAATTGGAGAATTAACCAATAATCCAAAGAAATATGAAAATTTGTGAGAGTAAGTCTGAAAGCACTGTGGATCAGACAGAATAATCTAATATTCAGAGAGATTGCAGGTGTTGATGGTATTCACAGTTCAAATGTGGAGGAGAAAGAGAAAATCCTCCGCTATTGTTAATATTATTATTTTGCCTCCTCAAAGTATGCAAACAAAAGGCCCAGTACCAAAAATCTTCGCGATCGGCGGCACTCCGGCAATCCGCAGAGACCAAATGCGCTGTTTCCGCTCCATCGCAGTCAATTAATCAGCACTCCAGCTCCATCGCCTGTCATCATCTGCTGCTTCATATCCGTACATAGATCTTCAATCTCTGTCGCACATTCTTCTATTTCACTCTCTCATTTCGTTCCGCTCAGAGATCAGAAATCCGCCATGTCCTGGCTCTTCGGCTCTTCCAAAGGTATGCAATCCAGATTCTTCTCCGCATGTCTCCGACAGAACTATACCGACGAGCACCTGTTCCAATTCCACTCTCCATTCCCCTCTCGAAGTTCAAATAAAATACTGATATAATTCCCAGGTGCTGCCGAACAGACTCCCGTTCCCGCAGCCGGCCAGTCAACACCAACCGAGAAACCCAAGGTACGTGGTTGAGCGCACTTCGCCCCGGAGGAACCGATCTGACCATTCCATCTCCAGCCCTGCTGCGTCTGCAAGACCGAAAAGTCCGCCCGGGATGACTGCATGTTGTTCTCGAAAACCGATGACCCGACTCAAGAGTGCAAGCCCCTGATCGAGCAGTACAAGGCCTGCATGGCTGGATACGGATTCAAGGTTTAAGCTGCTGGAGTCGACTGGACCCTGTTGTCCATCGGTCTTGTTGGGCGATATATGATATGCGTCGCCTACGTCAGTTAGGCATGATGTGGCCATTCTCTCGGTGTTGATCGAATGCTGAGCGATGGATTGGGAATATTGCGGCTGTACTATGGGCCAGGTGTTGGATTATGGGGCTACGGTTTGATTTTTAGATTGTATATTAGCATCATTGTACGGAGTTTTTGTCCATGCATATTTATGTACACTACAGGTATATAGTCGTCTGGCAAAGGCGTCTGTCAGACATCTGAATAGAACATCTCTCCTTGACTCAGGACGTACGAGATTGGAAAAATGACAATCGGATCTACCCGTCTGAGGGTTATAAAATACATTTGAGAGTATAAAATGGGTATCACTTGAGAAATTTTTTCAAGAAAATCGGGCCTCTGACCCTCGGCTATCACTGCTTCTTTTTCCGGCTCTCCTCTTCTGCTGCCTTGCGATCAATCTGCCAGCATTGCGTGATCAGTCTCCACATACACCACAAGTAAGCAATGCCAAATCCTCCCGCGCCAATCAGGACGTTCAGCACCACCCATAAATCGGGCTTGCCCTCCGGTGGAGGCACAAATGCGTCGAGGACATGCCAAACGATCATGGCCAGGTAGAAGCAAGAATGCAGCAGTTTGGTGAGTATGCGAGGCTCGGAGGCAGGTCCTGATTCGCCCTCAGGGGTTCGGCTGCGATATGTCTCAAAGGAAGTTGGTGGAAGACCCATCAGATAGGCCCAGAGACCCGTCATGACAAAGTACGGGACCCGGAGTTCGTCGCGTTTGAGAAGAGGATACATGGTCCAGGAGCCTAGAACGTTGGCCCATCCAACCCAGGACCGGGTGTCTTTGCTTAGGCCGCCATCACTTGCAAGGAGGAGTGTCATGGGAAGCAAGGGCAACAGCACACTCTTTTCATGGACCTGGAAGGAGAAAAGGAAGAAGCCCCAGGCTACGCTGGCCAAAGCTGGGAGAAGTAGAGATGCTCGCGGGTGGCGGAAAATGATGCCACAAGGGACTATAATAGATGCCAGCGTGGCGCCAAGTGAGACGCGCTGGAGAAGGCTCGCTTCGAACCGATGAAGTTTGTAGAACGTGTGGATGGCGCACCAGGCGTTGGCGACCTTGTCTTCAAACAAACCCCGTGCGAAAGGGAACACACGGTGGATGATTTGCATCAGTTGAAAGACGGGTGCGTACAGGAACGAGTCCTGTGACAGTTTGATGGGTAGAGCCTCCAGCAAAGGAGGTTGTGGAGAAGAACTCAGATAGCCACGAGCATCGGCATTGGTTGTGGCGACAAGCAGCGGGGCAAATAATAGTGCAAATGCAAGTATGGTGATAATGGCTATGTTCAGAAGGCGAAGAATGCGTATCCTGGGGAAGATGCAAACGCCTAGAAGAAAGGCGAACATGACGGGCGCGTAATAGAGCGCCATCTGCTTGAAGCCCAAGGCGCCCACAAAGAAGAGACAAGCCCACAGCATCCGCCCGGCCAATATAGCATCCAAACTTGCGACAACAAGCCCCAGCATCACGGTATTATATTGGAAATGGCCATGATCGATGAGAATGGTTGCCGGTTGCAATAGAAAGGCGACCAGGGCAATTGAGGCGGACCAGACTGGAACACCTTGCATCCGAGTATAACGACGAAGAAAATTAACGACAGCCGGGATGTAGACAAGGTACTCTGAAGCGATCACGGTTCCCCGCATGAAGACCTTCAATTTTGGGTCCTCGAAGCCGCGCGAGTCGTCCAGGGCGAACCAGGAGGGGTCAAGAGCGCTTCCACTACTGACTGTCAGCAATGAACGCCTTCCTTATCATATGTCCCAGAAATCCACGTACAATTTCCCCAGCAGCCAGCTATGGTATGCCGTGAGAGGCGGGTAGTCAAGTCCCCAGTATTGCAAGTCGTAGAGATACCATTTCGACATTGGGAGGTGGATGGTGAGCTCCATCCAGTGTCTTTGCGCTTCGAAATCGCCATGCATCGGAGGCACCTGAAAACCTGCATGAATATGTCAGCCACATGTACTTGGACGCATATTCTCAACATGCAGGCAATGCACAAACCAGAGTAGCCCCATAGACTGACAGCCCAACGGAAGAGGCCTACCACCATAAGGATCAGAGGTAGCACCAGCCATTGAGATACACCAGCTCTAGCAGCCCACAGGAACGAGACGAGAGGGAACGCAGGGGATGATTTTCCACCCTCAGCTTCAAGAATGAGGGAGTTGTTCGAGCCAGTGGGATACTTTCTCCTCTTCCGTGGCCGATGGGACGAAGGGGTCGGAGGAGCCATGGTGGTCAGACAGCAGCAGTATCACCTGCCTCCCATTGGCTCAATATAGTTCGTCTTCGAGGAAGAGAGATCCGATAGGTAAGAATCTGAGAATGCCAGTGGTAGTCGAACAAGCAGTTTGGGGTGGAAGCTCCGGTGGTCTGCGGAGGTGGAACTTGATGGTAGTACCAGCAAGTGACACTCTGGTTCCAGCGACCGGCCGCGTGCACACCGAGTACCTGCCAGGTACCCACTTTTCTTAAGTAACTGTCGCATACTAGTAGTACTACTAGTGCCTGAGCTAGCTGCTACAAAGTAGGCGGTGTGCGTAAATCTCTGCCAACCTCCGGAAATTTTCTGTACTGTTAAATTCTTATCACAGCTCTCGAGAATTTTTTTTTCCTTCTCTTCATCCTCACACTTTTCCCCTTTATCAACTCACTTTTCTTACATCTTTCTCATCTGAATCATTTTTGATTCAGTGAACCTCTTCAGTCTCCTTCTTAGAAACTATATTCTAACTGACGCAGCAGCGTGGGCCGTACTTTGCAAAGTACACTTCAACAGACATTCTGTGGGCTTAATACACTGAGGGCTGTGGGCTGTGGCATATTCCAATCTATTCTGTGGGATCTGTGGGATACTCTCGTGGGTTTCATATTATAGACGAGTGCATATTTCCTCTCCGTCTCTGTGGGCTTGAACACTGTCGTTGTGGGTTACTTGTGGGTATTTGTGCTAAATCTCTTCCATTTGTGTTGAGATTTACGTCCAGCTGTGATAAGGTCATCACTCCTGGATTTCACATCAGGGGGCTCTAACTCAAATCGGGTGATTGAGGGATTGTAGGCTTTGCCGCACAATTACAACTTTTCGTTTCTGAGAAATTTATTGTATGCACTAATCTCTCATCTCTGATCTCCCCTGTTGATGCTCACGCTAATCATCGTCGTTCATAGTACAAAATGTCTAAGACCAAGTCCGTTACCAAGAAGGGTGCCGACAAGCCCGTCGACAAGGCCTTGAGCAAGGTCAAGGACGCTGGCGTCGCCAAGGCTTCCCAGTCTCCCAAGGCTAAGAGCAAGCAGATCGCTCGCGAGCTCGCCTCCAAGGAGAAGTCCAAGGGCAAGAAGAAGGAGCCTACTCCTAGCAGCAGCTCCGAGTCTGACAGCGATGAGGAGATGGAGTCCACCAGCTCCAGCAGTGAGAGCGAAAGCGAGGAGGAGAAGCCTACCAAGAAGGAGGTGAAGAAGCAGTCCAAGAAGGCTGAATCTTCAGACTCCGAGTCGGAGTCTGACAGCGACGAGGAGATGGACGACGCTTCTAGCAGTGAGAGTGAGAGCGAGGATGAGAAGCCTGCCAAGAAGGACGCCAAGAAGGTGTCGAAGAAGGCTGAGACCTCTTCTGATTCTGAGTCCGAGTCCGAGTCGGAGTCTGAAGATGAGAAGGTCGTTAAGAAGGAAGTGAAGGCCAAGGCTGACACTTCTGAATCCTCCGAGTCCGAGTCCGACTCTGACGAAGAGGAGGAGGCTCCCAAGAAGGCCGCCAAGAAGGTTTCCAGCGACAGCGAGGATTCCGAGTCCGAGTCAGAGAGCGAGGACGAGGCTCCTGCTAAGGCTAAGAAGGCTGAGAAGGTATGTACCTGTCGCTCGCAGTGTTTGTAATGTTGTCTGACCGTCTCAGGAATCTTCCGAGGATTCTGATGAGTCCGAAGACTCCGAGGCCTCTGACTCTGACTCTTCCGAGTCCGAGTCTGAGTCTGAGAAGCCCTCCAAGAAGCGCAAGGCTGAGGAGGAGCCTGCTGCCGCCGCCAAGAAGTCGAAGAAGACTGATGAGGAGGCTTCCGGCGCTTCTGCCAACCTTTTCGTCGGTAACCTGTCCTGGAACGTCGACGAGGAGTGGCTCCGCCAGGAGTTCGAGAGCTTCGGTGAGCTTTCTGGTGCGCGCATTGTCACCGACCGCGACTCTGGTCGCTCCCGTGGGTAAGTTTAGGTCCACTAGTCGTGAGTTCTTCACCTTGCTAAACTTCATCCAGATTCGGTTACGTCGAGTTCGTCAGCGCTGCCGACGCTGCCAAGGCTTACGAGGCCAAGAAGGACACTGAAATTGATGGTCGCAAGATCAACCTCGACTACGCCACTGGCCGCCCTGCCAACAAGGAAAACAACAACCAGGACCGCGCTCAGGCTCGCGCTCGTAACTTCGGTGACCAAGCCAGCCCTGAGAGCGACACCCTGTTCGTCGGCAACATCCCCTTCAGCGCCAACGAGGACTCAGTCTCCGAGCTGTTCGGTCAGTCGGGTACCATCGTTGGAATCCGTCTGCCCACCGACCCCGAGTCGGGCCGCCCCAAGGGCTTCGGTTATGTGCAGTTCTCCTCTGTTGACGAGGCTCGCCAGGCCTTCAACGACCTCAACGGCGCTGAGCTGAACGGCCGTGCCGTCCGTCTCGACTTCAGCACTCCCCGCCCCAGCAACGGGGATGCTCCTCGTGGTGGCCGTGGCGGCTTCGGCGGTCGCGGTGGCCGTGGTGGTCCTCGCGGTGGTGGTCCTCGCGGAGGTGGCCGTGGTGGTCGTGGAGGCTTCGGCGGTCGCGGCGGCGGCTTTGCCCCCAACAAGGCTCGTGGTGGTATCCCCGAGTACAAGGGCACCAAGGTCACCTTCTAGATGAGTAGCAACATGGTGTCTTGATTTAGGCGTTTCTTTACGGCTTACAAAAGATCTGGGTTATGTCTAGGTTGCATGGGTTCGAAAAAGTTGGTCATTTTAAGTTCTGATGGGAATTTGTCTGTACTACATAGGTCGACTACTTAGGGTAATATGAATGGTCAGTGACATTCTCAAATTATTGTTTGGTTGTTCAGCCTTTTGTCCAATGTGAGAGCGTGCTGTGGTGATAGCAGAGTTGCTGATCGACAGCACGAGCGCTGCCTGAGATGTGGTTGGTGCCCCGCTTTTGTGGCTTCAATCTTGGCGCTGTTTTCTTTGATCAGCAGTCGTCCACGTCTCTGCTTATATCTATCTTTCACGCTTATCATGCTGCATCGTCTTTTCATCTCCTTTCTAAAGACCCCTTCTTCTTGATTCTTCTTTTTCTTTTAGATGTGTGTTCTTTGTTGTGTAACTTTTGTTCCTTTCTGATTTCCAGAGGTCTGTATTTACTGGGTCGTGTGCGTGATTCTCTCCTGTGCGCGCCCAAGTCACCTGCCCACAGTCTGGTGATCCTCTGACGTCCACTCATTGCGCCGACCATCCAAGACAGCCCTCCCTACCTTTCTTACTTTGCCTTTCCAATCTCCTCCTCGACCTGATTCATCTGGTCTACTTATCGTCATCGATCACAAACCTGGTTGATGATCTTCTTTCTGCCAAAGATTTGCCGGGACTCCACCTTGATAAGATAATACACTGCTGCCGCGCTGCTTGGTCGACGATCCGGTGGTTCTCTTCCCCACGCACCCCCACCGGCTTCCCCATCGGCTTCCTCAGTTGTCTGCCTGGAGTCCTTGACCGCTCTCTCTACCTGCGTGGTCTGACCTGACACCCCTCTTTTCCTAGTCGAACCAGATGGTTCAAACTCCTTTCTATCTTCTATTCTAGATAGGGTCTTTCGGATCGAATCTCGCACGTCGAGTTGTAGATACAGACAATGCAGCCAAATCACTATGACCTGCTTGGTCAGGCGCAACAGGATGAGTGCCGACCTGCCCCCCGAATGACAAGAGAGGCTCATCAGCCGCTTCGGGAGCATATCCTTCAGTCACGAACTCCATCGGGTGCTGCGCTCACGAGATCTGAAGGTCAGTTGGTTGATATACTTGTTGTCTCGCTGCGGTGATGTTCCTTTGACCGCATATTTGATCAAACATGTATAATCGATATCAACAATCGTGGCATAATGTACTCACTTCGGCATTATATAGATTCGTGGATCGAAGTATCGTCCCAACCGTCCTCTTCCTCCCTTTCATCCGCCGCAACCAATGATGATATTATTACGACGGGCCTGCGTGTGGAGCGGACGGAATCCAGGTCCTATCACCACCGTAGCCGGCGCCGTCGTTTGCAACAACTAGCAGCCGTGGCCACAGCGCACGTCGACTATCCGTTGCGGGAGACCAGCAGTAGCCAGGATGAATATGACGAAAGTGAAAGTGAATCAGACCATGTGCTTAGCAGTTCCAACGAAGACATGACCCGCGCACCCGCCGTTGAGATGCCTCTCCTTTCGCAGACAGACCCTGCCTTGCCCGAGCTAGATGCAACTGTTGCGAGCGATGAAGACGACGCATCAACGGCACTGGGAATGCGGATAAGCTCATCGCCCTTCGTCCCGCAGCCCAACGTGTTTTCTCATCCACCCGAGAACCCGTCTTGGACGAGAGCAACGGGTACCCATCAATCTCAGCCCAGTACACTGTCCAACTCGAGTCGTCAGACTGCGATTCGAAGAAACTCGCAGGCCAGCGTACGGTCGAACAGAAGGCCTCAACACAGCCCGTACAATATGATATCACCATCATATCATGCAGACCACGATGCTGCTCTTCGTGCTAGTCTGTCCACGCTTCTCTCGTGTGCTGCCGCTGCAAGGGGATTACCCAAGTCCGATCCTCAGCCTTCACCGGCTGAGCCTGCGAGAGGGCCACCGTCCTCATTCCGCCTGGTGCCCGAATCGGTCGCGATGGGAGAAGTGGAGGCCAGCGAGAAGGAGGAACAGTCTGCCACAGAGACCACCTCGACCGGGTCCCATCCCCCAAGCAAAAGGCACGCAGATGCTACGCCTTGCACTCACAGGACCAAGCGTCGATCCAGCTTGTCCAAGGAACGGAACGCTGGACATCCGTCTGTGGCAAAGAAGAGCCGTCGAGCGGGAATGGCCGAGTCCATGTCGACAGGCAGCCCAACCATTATGACGTGGGTGATCAGCGCGGGCGTTGTGGTACTCTTTTCGGCCATCAGTTTTTCAGCGGGCTATGTACTTGGACGCGAAGTTGGCAGGCTGGAGTCGAGCACTGGCGTGGGGTCGGTCATGGGAGACGGAGGGGCGGGGGCCCTGGGAGGCAGGGTTTCGGCCGGCTGCGGCCAAGAAGCCGTTCGGGGCGGTTTGAAGCGGTTACGCTGGGGGACAGGGTCTGGTGCATCCGGCATCATTGCATAAACTATTGATTCTCGACTGATGATCATGACCAATGACGGAGATGGCTGGCGTTCAGGGTTGGTTGTTCGTTCGTTATACTGCACGACGCGGAGTGTTTCTTTTGTAATGGCTCATTCTGGATATCCAGGAGGGAAAATTTCTTGTCCTTGATTTACTTGTTTTGGAGTTGGAGTTTGATTTCTGTGGTTGATGATATATTCGCTTGCCAATCTATACCCACTTGACCGATAAGGATATGGACGGGGAGATGGACTTGCAAGAACAATGAATAATGAATGGACAATATACCATATCTAACTGTGCCCCTGACGCCACGGCCCGTTCCCGCTCATCACGTAGATATGATACAGAGCACACGATACGGTCGAGGCGTTCCTGTCTGCAGTCTGAAGTGCTCATGACCAGGCACGGACATGGTGATTTGAAATGATATGCAGATTGCGGGGTGCAGACAGATGCAGGTGCACAGGCTCACAGTCTCACAGCGCCTGAAGCGCGAAAAAGCCATTGAACATGCCTGAACTCGGGCATATGCGCCTCACCTCATCCTGTGATATATCATGTATCATCTCAATGTACAGTAGGAATGATGACATCGCAGCAGCAGAGGGAGACTACACTGTACAGGCTACGGCAGGTACAGTAGCATCAGCATGATCACTAACCCCTTACTCCTAGCTTCGCAAAAGAAAAGAACGATAAGATAGGAAAGAATGAAAGGAGCGGTCAGTGTAGGCATGTTTCTGGTTCAGGATGTGTTTCACAGGACACAGATACATACAGGTTCTGAACGATGATCATGTCGTGATGGTGACGGTTATAGCTTACCCTGAGCATATTTCTTGATTTGACTGGCKAATGGTTTGAGGATGTGATGCCATACAGCGAGCTGGCTGATGCGTGTGCGTGACTATCTCTGCTGTCGTGGACTCTTGCTCCGCTCAGACTACCTATGTTCTTACTCCGTCTGGCAGATCTCGGCGAATATCTATTCCCGTGGCGAGAGTCTCTAAGACAGAATCATAGAATTAGACGTATTGCATTCAGAGTTTCGTATCAGCAGCATGAATGTCAGTGCGGTGCGGCGTACTCGGGTATACGGAGTCACCTGGGTCAGGCACTCGGGCATGAGCAAGTTAACACACCGACCCATCCTTGTGTTTCGTCTATCATATCCACTGGAGGCAGCAAGTGATGCTGCTCTGAGACTGCTACATTCCAATGCAAGAAGCAATTATCTCCGCGTGAAGCGAAGATGCAGGACATGGATCTTATTGGTGGGCTAGCCCTGCAGCTGCATGCACGCTAGCCAGAGGAACCTGTGTGTCTATGTGATCTGGAAGAAACGGCATGTGAGGCATCTAAATTCTAAACTAGAACAATTGTTGCATGGATTGTGGAAGGGTGTTCGTACACGTTTCGAATTGGGTTAGGATTTAGATAAGATTCGCTTGCTGATCTGGAATTGACAATTGACTTTGTATCGTGTTGCTTGTTCTCGCAATGAAATGGACATTAAACTAATATGATACTCGTGATGATGCCGTTGCGCTCCTTGCTTGAGCCCTGAACTCCTCGCTAATCTGACCTGATGAAACAAAACAAAACAAACCCGAGACTGAGACTGAGACTGAGACTCACACTGACACATGAAGGATTGATGCAGGACAAAGGAAAAGAATTTAATGCGGTAGGACTCTGAAACTTTCGTGTAGATGCCCGATCCTGCAGGTCTCACAAACTTGTCAAACTTAAAGTTGGGAATGGAAGAAAGAAAAAGACGGTGAAGAAGAAGCGAATGAGAAACAACGCCGGCTATGCAGCTCGCTGGCGTCGCCTGATCTCATCTCGTGTGAGAAATCGGCGGATTCGCAAGACGAAGCGGTAGGCTGAGGAGTCTAACTCATGTTAGTCTTAGACTTCCGCAAATTATAGATCAAATGTGATAGATAGAGAGATAAACTCACCACTGTTCCTGCGCGCCGAGGGCTTGGAATAATCGTCTGTGGAGTATACATCTGTCCAGGAATTGTTGTCTTGATAGGCAGAGTTTTTGGCGCGGATCCATGGAGTGTCGTCGGATTGGAGTTGGAGAGCGACGACGTGAGGATAGAGAGACCCTAATGGGTTGAGGAGCTCTTCTGACGAGAGGTCTTCTGCCCTTTTGATGTCAAGGCTTTGACTGGTCTGGATGATTGTTAGTACTGAAGCTGTTCTTTGAACTAAAGAGGAAGACATTATACATACATAAGGCTCATAGTTGGACTTGTAGCACATGATGACGAACGTGGAGTAGGAAATTGATAAAATGGGTTGACTTTCGACTTTGAGTATTCAAAGTTCAGACTGAGTCTTGGAAGGAACTTGAAGGCTATATATCTTCATCTTCCTTAAGGTTGTGCCCTGCATGAGGCGAGATGGTTGGGCTGGTGGAGGTCGGTGTGGTCAGCCACTCCATAACAATCCAGGTACAACACACCTAGATACATGATGGTGGGGTAGATCAGTGCGCATGTCATAAACCGTGGATCTGAGTTGGCTTTGCTTTTTCCCCCTCGCCCATGAGAAAATCATTGGTGGTGATTTGTATTAGACAGAGTCATGATCTCATCTACTTCTAGACTGGGAATAGTACTGTGGCCCTGCCATTGGCTGGTACCTGTCTTACTCAGATTGGTTGGCCTGTTAGTCTTACACTAGGAACTTAGTTTTCTCATTCTCATACCCCGTAAGATATTAATAATGTCATTGATCCGTCAATTTAATCGATCAGGGAAGAGTCTAGCGAGATTAATGAAATGCTTTGCTGACTGTCCAGCTGCAGTCCCACCATAATTCCCAGTTCCAATCCCAATATCCTGACTAGTGGTTCCCGGTCGCCCTGTTTACCTTGCCTGTCCCACTTTAGTCATTACAAATATAGACATCATCATTATTGATAACAATTACAATTACCCTGTACACAGTACCCTCCTAGGTAAGATTGACGTCGTCTTCCAAAGCGACTTCAGAACCTGAGATCTGCGCCAGTGAGCTGCCCCTTGCGTGGTTCGTACACCCTCAGAGTATCAGAATCGTCAGTCGTCACAGCCAGACCACGTTCGACATTGTTGCGTTGTACAATCCTGAGACTTATGTTACCGTCTCCATGTTGTGTCACCCACATTCCTGTTGCCCTGTAGTATCACCTGAGCCTATTGCAGTCCACGCTGACCGCCATGTGTGCCTTGAAGAATCATGATCCCTGCTTCAGGTCTATTGTCCAGATGGAACCACGACTAGACCGAGCGCGCCCGGGGATTCTCCAACAGAGCTGTCACATTTGTTTGAGGAGGGATCCTGACTATTACTGATTTGATTAAATAATCAAGGCCCTGGATGACGCCACACCTTGGCGGGTAACGCCACATCTCAGCTCCTAAACAATCACATGGTGTAAGTCAAACTCTAACATAAATCAGACTTACGATATCAAAAGTATACATTCCTGAAGAAGGTAATCTCCCAATCTAACACTCTATTAATGATTTCTGCTTTCAAATACCTCTTGATATGGGCGTCATCTAGATTCTACCCTACCTAATAATGACCCTGCCAAGTGCGAAACCTGCGAGATCGGCCCCAGAACTCCCTCCCTTCCGCGACACCTCAATGGCCTATTAAATCTATTATCAGTTCAGCTAGTTATTAGAATGATAGTACAGCACTAGAAAACCAACTGATTATCTGTATAATTATTACTTGCTGTCTATACATGGAGGAGCGCGAACCTACAGATGTGCGGACTGCCGAGATCATGTGACAAATTGATCGTTTACAAGCCAGGGGTGTTGATATCCAATAGGGTGTGGCGTTATCCACCGCAGTATGGATCGAACCAGGCCCTAAATCAATAGTGATCATGATAAGCCAAGTCCAGCATCCAGTAGACTGGCGGATCTACGAGGATGAAGGGTTAGTGCTTGAGTCTTCCAAATCATTACTCTAGTGTGTGATCCTGTCCAGGTACCCGGGATCTGCAGGTATTGCAATGGTCTGTCGTCCAGTCCTGGTTTACTTAGTCGCTTATGTCCGGGCCTACAGATTATTGGGCTGCGAAAGCCACATTGCATGACAAAGCGTAGCACAGCCACACGGCCCACCGGCGATATGGCACAATATGATTGGTCAAGCCACATAATCAAGCAAGATGTGGCTAGGCTTCGGCATTCCATCTGTGGCTGGTGCAGATGTGGCTTGATCCCTCGATCGATAGACGCCTACTAGTCTGCTCGAAAAAAGCATCACAATCGTCAGATCAGTGACCTTTTACTCAACAGAGCAAACTCCACTTGCCAGACGGCGCACGAACTATCTGCCGAGACCGAATGAAGCTTTTTTCATTTTCTGCTTCCCTGTCTGGTTCGGCATGCCCGTCTTGTTTCGTATCTCGGGATGGCAGTGGGCCGTGAGATCTATAAGATGGCCGCCTCGCTCGCTCTCGCCTCAGACTTGTTTTACCTAGAGACTAAACTACTCCAGTAGATGAAACCAAAGCTTGGTCACTCATCATTCATGTCCCATTTCAGCCATGACGTTGCACGTTCAGGCTTCCGCCAGAGACTGCTGGCCAAGTTCTCCCTATACAGACGAGCAAGCTCTCTCTTCCCCCGCTAGTAAGTCCTCACTCTTGCCCTCTATCCTACCCCCCCGCAGCATACTCCCCCACACCCCTCACTCTGAAACACCTTCTGAGATCCTCCCAGAGTCAATGAACATGGAGACTGAATGCACCCCCGGCAGCCGCGCGAATCACTCCATCTTCTCAGTAACCGAGTGTCCACCTCCGTCTCCATCAGCATGGCCCGCCCCTGGCTTGGGCGCGGCCCCGGCCCCGGAGCCAGAGACAGAGTCTGAGACAGACACTCACACCGACTTCTCCACCCTGGACCTGACAGACTGGTACGCGCGGTACCTAGGCTGCATGCACTTCTTCCTAGCGGAGAGCCAGCACACCCCCGCCGTGCAGGCACTGGCATCCTTTCTCAATATCCGACTACCAGGACAGGGCCTCGACGCCTCAGCCGTCTCCGCCAGAGCGTACGTCCGGCGCCTGGTCGCCACAGGCCAGGATACCCCGGCGAACCTGCAGCTAGTCTTCGGGGAGGATTGGGCAGCCGGTGTAGGCGGGATCCGTCAGCAGGAGCGGCTGAACTATCTCTTCGCGGCGAAGAGCGGGGGGTGGGTGTCGACGAAGAGCGCGTATGACATCCTTCCTGACCAGCAGACGCCGTTTCTGCGGCCGCTGCGCGAGCCGACGGAGGAGGAGCTGCGGGTTGCGGATGCAAGGTGGAGCGATTGGTTGGCGATGGAGGATTGGATGGTGGGACCGAGGAGGCCTTGGTAGAGCCTAGGGGTGACGCTCATGACTTATGATTCATGATATTTCTTTCTTTTGTCATTCGCTACTCTACATATTTCTTTTGTTGTCGATATCCACGCCGAGCGTGCGGAGTACAGAGTACAGCTAGCTGTCTATCATTGATTGGCTCATTCCCTGTAGTCAGGTACAATTAATGATATTATCACCTCAACTCGGCTTCTGCAGACGACTAGGACCAGAACCATGAGCTCGGAAAATAATTACGAATCCGCATCCCCCTTTTCCTTATCCAAGATAACATGGCAATCACCTTGGCAGCGACGCTAAACAGGACATCCGTGCGAACTATTGGCACTAACAGGGAAGACAATTCCAGTAAGCAAGAGCTTTAGCCGGCTCGGGCCCAATAATAGTCCCTACTCAAGGTATCTAGATAATCCGTAGTGAAAATGCCGAATCCAGCAGAAGTTAAAGAAAATGACCTGTCAGATCTACTACAGGCTGCAGTTGCACCGCCACAGTTGGGCATCATGATTTGCAGCAGACATGCCTATCCTGGTAATCAGAATGACAAATACTGTCTGACTATGCTCTTAGGGCCGGAGCCAAGCTTCGCGACAGCTGCTAGTCAGGGGATAGATTATTAAGTTAACTAGTGATTCATTAGTGATGACTCAATAGTGTAGTCCGTAGTCCGTACTCTATAAGCGAGAGAGGTTCAGGTGCAAGTGAAATTGAATTATTGTATGGTGTCAAGGGATTGCCCCGCACTGTTCTCAAATCAATGACAATGACAGTCGGTGATCAAAGGCTTTATTCGGGGTTTATTGAGATCACCATCCAGGATGATCCTTGGGCACTACTCCCCCTGCTCAAATCCCAGCTCCCTCATTCGATTCCTCTCCTCCGACGTCTGCAGCACAACCTGGCATTCCCATCAGAGACGGCCAGACTGCTGACGACATTCCCAGGGGTCAAGCCTCCCTCCGGACCATGGCTGGCTGCGTATGTGGATCTCCCACGTGGGCGAGAGACGCAGATGACCCTCTATTCGAGTCTCGAGCGGGAGTCTGTCGATGATGACAAGGATGATAACCAGGATCCTGCTGTCATCTCCACTCTCCACGCTCCCCCCGAAACTCTAGCGCTCGCTCGCGCCCAACTACTGGCCTTACTCTCGTATGTCAAGACGGCTTTGTTGCCGGGGTACCTGGCCTCTCTTGCTGCCCCAAGCGTAGCTCCTCCCCCTCCCATCGCGCTGGGTCAGATGCCGCCCCCGCCGCCGCAGGCCTTTCTCATCGGAAATCTGCATACAGGCCTCATGGCCCTGCTCAAGGCGTCGGGGACTTATACGGACCCGGAGCCGGTACCAGGTATCCGGATCCACCGTTACGATAATCCCCCATATGTCAAGTACCTATTCCGGAATGCGAACTTGCTCTCAGACAGATTAGATACAGGACTACCACCCGGGTATCGGTTCCAAGACCAGCAAGGGCGGACGGGAGTCCTCCCGCACCATTACTCGCTGGTGCGTAGCCGGACGCATCTGCCTCGCTTGGACGAGACACTGTCCAGGATCCCCGGAGTGGCTGTGTATGTTGATCGACCTGGGGAGGGGGAGGAGACACCCATCGGATGGGTCTTTCTCGGCCTTGACGGGAGTTTGGCGACGTTGTTCGTTGAGCCAGAGCATCGCGGCAAGGGAATCGCTGAAGCTCTCTCGCGAGAGGTTATGCGGCGTGGGATGGCGGAAGGAGGGATCTGGCGGGAGGTTGGCGAAGAAGGCGAGGTCTGGGTTCATGCGAATGTGCTCGCGACGAACGGGGCCAGTCGGCGGGTGCTGGAGAAGGTGGGAGGGGAGGTCGGGTGGACGAATACGTGGACGGTGGTCGAGTTGCAGGGCTGATAGAATCATGCAGAAGCAGACGACTTCCAGCATACTGCCCTTTAGCTTTCCACGACAACATACTTGACGATGGTCTTGTTTCCTATGAGGGCAACGGTAGAGAAGCAATCCTAAATCAGATAACCCGTCGGTTTCACAAAGGTCGTCGGCCTCACACCCTTGTCAGCAACAAGTTTAGCCCATCCATCTGCTTTGGCATTCCACTCGCACGGGATCAGCCAGATCCCAAGCTTCGTCTTTGCCCGACTCGTAGCCGCATCTTCGCGCCATCCCAACAAACACTCCACAGATCCTTCATCTTGACCGGTCTTCCATACCGTCCGCCACTCATTCTGTACCCAGCCCTTAATCCACGACGTAGCTCCCTCAAGCACATACTCCGAATCCGTAGCGATAACAATCTTTGTCCACCCTTCGCCAGGCCAAAAGCGGAACTGCAAAGCGACAATCACAGCCCGCAGCTCGGCCCGGTTGCTCGTCTGCGGACGCAAGTGCCCTCCCTGTCGGACCCTGCAGCTCAAGCGGGAACGCAAAATGGCCCCTTCGTCCCGGCCGCTCGTCTCTGAAGACCACGCCGCAGCCTGCCCTCGGATTCGCCTGGCCGTGCTCTCAAATCGTGGATTACCTGTTTCCCAGACTGTGGGCAAGAACTGGGTATATAACTTCATTAATCGGCATGAAGAGACCAAGACTCGGTACTCTAGGCGCTATAATCACCAGCGTGCTAAAATGTGAAGATCCAAATGTTATCCAAGTGTGGTTTAATCGTGTCCAGATCAATATAATGCAGCATGGATTGCGCCTGAAGATAACTATAACTTTGATGAGACTGGCTTTGTTATGGGCTTAGTAGCTACTGCTAAGGTAGTTATAAGAGCTGAGATGCTTGGTTGGCCCTCTCTTATCCAGCCAGGGAACCGCGAATGGGTTATTTTTATAGAGTGTATTAACTCTACTGGATAGGTGTTTCCACCGTGCATTATCTTCAAGGGAAAGGTCCATATTAAGGGCTGGTATTAAGATACAGCCTTACCAGCAGACTGGCAGATTAAGGTCAGTGAGAATAGATAGATACTGATTAGATTAGATTATAATGGCTTTATAAAGTCTTTATTCCTGCTACTAGTTGTATAACTGTAGATAGCAACTCTTGATTCTTGATGGCTATGGGAGCTATCTAACACTGTAGTTTAACCAAATCTATACTAAGAATAATAGTATTCTAATCTGCATGCCTGCACATTTATTATATCTTCTCCAGCCTCTGGATGTTGGCTGTTTCTCTCTGCTAAAACACGCACATGGCATCTTGATTGAGGATAAGATGCGACTTGGTTGCAACCATATTGATAAGTTTGACTTCCTTAAGGCCTATCGGCAGGCTCGTACAGCAATCTCTTCAGCAGATAATATTAAAAGTGCTTTTCTGCAACTGGATTAATACCACTGAATCTAGATTAGGTGCTCAGTCAGCTTAATATCCAGCTTAAGACCCCTACGCCACCAGGCAGCAGATCAACTAATTCCATCCCAAAAACACCTTATAATCATAAGCAGCTAAAAAACAGGAAAGCATGCTTAAGAAGCTACTTAGAGGGTGTATATATAGTCCTCCTACCTCTTCTAAGACTGTGCTAGATCAGCTTATTAAGGCGTGTGAGATGGCAATGAATAATGCTATCCTTCTTGCAAAGGAACAGTATGATCTACATGCTGCACATGAGAAGCAGCTTCAACACAGGAAGCAATCTAGGAGGTAGATAGAATCTGCAGAGGATTCTCTATCCAGGAAGGCAGTAGTTCATTCAACGCAGGAATCAGGCTGAAGCTATCCCAACTATCCCTACAGAGCAGGCAGGAGATGCAGAACAACGACCTCAACGGGCACCCCTGCGCTGCAGTAACTGTCATATTATAGGCTATAAGCAATTGCAATGTCCTCAGCGCAAGGATAACTAGTTGTAGTAATATAATCATGTTTTAGGCGTTCAAATACCCTCTACGCGGCCAAAATTCTATGGTTCAGTGGCCGCTCGATGGGAATGGCCGCTGCTAGTAATAAAAGAGTATCTTATGAAATAATCGCTAACAATGGTTTAAGCCGTTTATATCTATAATAAATCATCAAATTTCCAAGAGAAGACGAAGAATGTCCAATGCATCAAAAACCGCCAAAGAAGGGCTGCGGCGGCGGTTCCATACTCTTCAACACGTCCCCGATCGCCTGAAATATGGCAATCTGCCGCTCCTGCTCTTCCTGAGGCAGGGCAGCAAAAGCAGCAGTTTCTTCGTCCCACTTTTTCACACACTCCACGTTCCAATTGCACTTCTCAACCTCCCCAAGGATGGGGTGATAGAATCGGGGGTGACGTTTTGGCCACTCGGAGGCATGGTAATGATGCTTGACCAACGCGTTGCGCGAATTATGGGTGCCCGAGTCGGAATGACCTTGCCCAGCGGCGAACGCTTCAACCGTCAGGACCAGAAACCCTCCAACAACTTTGGACTCGGGGATATCATGGAACGTATCCCATGTCACKGTCTTGCCAGTGATTCGGCTCATTTCAGATAGGATGGCACCCGTAAAGGCAGAAGGCCCGGTGCCTGTGATCACATCATCGAAGTCCAGCTGAAGCTCTGAGATTGGCTTTCCTTGCTTGATGGAGAGCTCATTGAGCCAGTGGAGGATATTCTCGACTAGTCGCATCATCACGGGCTGTCGGGGCTTGCACATGAAGGTCCATTGGCAGAAGGATTGCGATTTCTGACCCAATATAGGATGGTCGCGGAAGTGTGGCTCATCAATTTCGACGCCTATGACCATGCCGATATCTCTTTCGTCATGAGTGCTTGGGACAAACCGCTCGACGGGTCTCAATGCTTCCACGTCTATATCAGCATAGACACCTCCTTCTATGTACATCACAAGGTACCGAAGCAGGTCAGCCTTGATAATCGGCGCAGTCAAAGATCGATACGTTTCCACGATATCTGGCCGATTCTCCCCATGAGGCCCGAAATTTGTTTCGACATATTCGAGGTCATTCTGGTCGGTCAGAACTTCGTACCGATAGCCCGGGTTTTTCGCAGTCCAGCTGCGCGCAACCTCGATATCACGTCCGTCAAATTCCAATGGGTTTACTTTCCAAATCTGCCAGATTTTCCGGGGAAATGTTTCACCAACACCGGCAACACCGGTTGTCACCTGTGTCGAGTATGATCGAGTCTCGCCAAAGTTGTGTGATGTCCTGGTGAGACAGAAGTAGAGGAACAGGAACAATGCCGCCAGGCCCCCATGCGTGAATCGACGTGCCCTCTTTGGAAAGAGACTGATCGGCACAAATTTCTTCTCCCCCATGACTGTGCCTGTGATGATCATGATCTTATCCACTGGCCTCTTGTCTGGGGAAAGCATAGAAGTCGGAAAAGGTAAAAGATCGTGAGTTCAGGAAATCATAGCCTTATTTCACCGCCGTGTAGATTACATACAGTACATAGCTTTGTATTTAACATGTGGTCTTCACTAAATCTGCAATGCATTGCCTCGGACCTGACGCCTTTGAAAGCTTATGTCTCATTTGCCGGGCTGTATTGTTCGTAACCCCGCGAGCGCAGTCGTAGCCATGGTATGGAATAATGGAATCCACTCCAATGCCGATCCCCAACCTTGGCAAATTGCGGGGGCCAGATCGTGCCTGCACGGCCTTCAGCCACTCGGTGATGTTTCCCGACCGGGCATAATCTATACGAAACGCAATTTAGCGGCAGCCTCGGAACCAGTGGGTAGTGGCACTGGCCTGCTCAGCGACCCGCTAAGGAGCACTAGTCACCGTATGAGTCCACACAATTCATGTGTTATCGCGTTACGAGGAGCTGTGTAATAATTATCAAGCAGTGAGACTTGGGTTTTTATTGATCGTCTTCTTCGACCTTTCAAAGGACTCTGGCAACTTCAACTCTTGCCCCCAATGCCCATCCTACCCACCTCAATCGAGAGCTTCTCGCCTGAACGAGTCATCGACGGTGGACAGTGGAAACCACAGTCAGCCCAGAGGACACACCCTCGACATGGAATGTCGTCTTTTTCATGGATGGCTCCTTTCGTGCCCAGTTTGTTCACTGGGCCGACAAATGGCGATACAAACACGAATGAAAAGCAACGACAGCGTGCCAGGCCGACCGCATACCTAGATGGATTGCGAGGGTTTGCGGCTCTCCTGGTCTACTGGGGACATCATCAACTTTGGGCCCACGATGGCGCGGGAGAGGGAAAGGCCTTCGAGCTAGCCTACGGTTACGACAACAAGTACTATTTCGCATGCCTTCCTGGTGTTCGAACGCTCTTCGCCGGGGGCCATTTTGCCGTCACCGTCTTCTTCGTGCTCTCTGGGTACGTTCTCTCCATGAAGCCACTGGGATGCATCCAGGATGGCGACTACGCCGAACTAGGTAAAAGTCTGTCCTCGGCGGTATTCCGCCGATGGTTTCGTCTCTATATACCCGTCATTTGCACAACGTTTTGCTACATGACGTTTTTGCATCTCTTTAAAATTCGCACTATCCCAGAGCTTCAAGGAAGCTACCTCTCGGAGCTATGGAATTGGTACGCCGAATTCAAGAATTTCAGCTTCGTTCTGCGAACCGGCGGGGAGCCTTGGTTCACGTACAATTTCCATGCTTGGTCTATACCCGTCGAATATCGAGGCTCTCTGGCGGTTTACACCGCCGCGATCGCTTTTGCAAGGTTTCGCCGCAACGCCCGGCTGATCGGCGAAGTCGCATTGGTGGTGTACTTTTTGTACATTGCGGATGGGGCGCACTTTGCCATGTTTATTGCTGGCATGCTTTTGAGAGATCTCGATCTCCTCGCCATGCGCAATGACTTGCCCGGCTTCTTTCGCAGACTGGAGCCCTTCAAGTCAGCCATTATGACTTTACTCTTCTATGTTAGCCTCTACCTCGGCGGGGTCCCATCGCATACGGATAACGTGCAACAACTACGTGACTCACCGGGGTGGTACCTCTTATCATTCCTCAAGCCACAGGCCGTGTTCGACTACAAGTGGTTCTACCTGTTCTGGGCCGCTGTCTTCCTTGTCTCGTGCACAACTCACCTTCCGTGGCTCAAGGCATTTTTTGCAGCCCCGTTCAACCAGTACTTGGGCCGCATTTCATTTGCCTTCTATCTAGTCCACGGACCGGTTCTGTGGATTCTGGGAGACAGGCTCTACGCTGCAGTGGGATTCGTGCGCGATTCACATGCGCAAAATTGTCCCTGGTGGATTAATCGTTTGCCCCTGCCTACCTTTGGTCCTTTTGGGCTCGAGGTCAACTTTCTCGTCCCACAGCTGGTTTTGTTGCCCTTGACCCTCTGGCTTGCAGATGTCACGACTAGACTAGTTGACGAGCCCGCTGTGAGGCTCTCTCAGCGGCTGTATCAAGAGGCGCTGGACGACGAAACTTGACAAATCTCCGCTGGTGTTTATGATCTATTTATTTGTTTTTGAGCCTCTCATGCAAAGCCTACCCTGCATTATAAATTGTTGTATAATTCTTGGAGTCTAAGTCCGGATACACCTCGATCCTGAAGACTTGCTACGAAATTACGTACGCCATGTGTAAGACCATAGTGGCAAAGCTTGTCAGATTTTTGATTTCGGCATGTGTCTTCGTAGCTTTACCTCAATTCTCACGGTCGATGTAATAATTGTATCTAGCGAGGAATTAACTTGATGCTCCGAGGGTACGCCGATTACCATACACAGAAATTTAAGAGTTGCGGGGGTGGGCACGCTACTCCCCGTCGATGACTAGAGGCAAACTACCACCCCTCAATTCAGCCACTACCCGCGTTCGTCGGGACTTTCTAGTCAATGGGTAGTGACCAATCTCCGCAACCCATTTTCTGAAATATGGCTTATTACCTCTTACTGATACATCCCTGAATGCTCTACACACGCCAGACTGAACATGGCCAAAAAAACAGCCACACGCCTGATGCTTATTGCAGGGCTATTGTCCGCAGTGGTCCTCGTCGCTAAACTTCAATCCAACCATCTCGACTTGCAAACGAATTTTCTGTCCTCGTATCACTCCACGGTTGGTCCAAAAGGGCAATCACCCATTAATGCTGGGGAATCCGAGACAGCTTGCTCAGGCGTCCCCGGCAGCGAAGCCTGGTCTCACTGCCAGGATGGACAACCCGCAGACGAGGACGGAAGACGTCCTGAATTCGAAAAGGAAATGTCTCAAACGCACCATATATTATACTCAGAATCGAATCCCGATCGGGAGTATTTTAACATCGATTTTGGGAGAAGATCCGTGATGAATCCCAGTATCATACCGCATCCTGAATTGCCTGACACCTGGATCATCACGGCGCAACTTCATAAGCCTCCTTCGGCTCGAATGGCATCAGTCTGGTTTGCCGAACTCGTCTGCAATGCGGCGTTCTCAGAAGATAAGCGAGTTCTGCGCTGTCTGGAACCACCACTGCAATTGCCCATCCCAGCGACGTTTGGGGACTCCAGCAAGTGCGTCGGCGACCTTTCATACTTTAGTCTCAGCGTTGGGCCTCATGATGCGAGGGTATTCTACGGGCCCGAGATTCCGTACACCATTTACGGCTCCAATTCTTTCTTTACGTGCTTTGGCCAATGGATCTCCGATTTTCGAATCTTGGTGGACTGGGGCATAGACACGATACAGGAACACGAGTTCCGCCAGTATCGTGAGCTGCAACGTCCAATGCCATGGAATGCGGTTGAGAAGAATTGGTTCCTTTTCTGGGACGACTTTGGACAAATGTTCGTACACCATGATATTGCACCGGAGCGAGTATTTGCAAAACTCGAGCTCGATGGCTCCGTTGGGCCAAACTTGGCTCTGGCGACCGCAGCTTCTGACCAAGCGTGTCTCAAGAGATTCATGCGTCAGAGTGCGAACCCAACGGAGAGGATTCATCAAGCGACAAACTCGCTAGCTATCACTCTCTGTGCACGATCTGACCAATCTTGCCAACCCGATACGACCAATACCTTTGTGCTTTTCATCATCCAACAAAAGACCTTACAAGGTCTCCACCCCGTATATGAGCCGTATGTCGTGCTTACTCGGCGTTCGATGCCATACGAGATTCATGCGGTCTCGTCAAAACCAATTTGGATTTTTGGTCGCAAAACTGCGGCAAAAGAGTCGGATGTATCTTCTACAACACTGTTCTCAGAAGACTCCGAGATGCTCTACGTGACTAGCATCAGCTGGAAAAGCCACGGCCAGAAGTATCATGGGTACATTGATGACACACTGTTCCTAGCATTTGGCAGGGAGGACTCGGCCGCCGGCGGTATCGACGTTACCGCGAGAGACCTCCTAGCAGAGCTGGGTATATGTGCAGGATTTTGATTTAATGCTTTACTAGGAGTTCTAGTGCTTGCATGGTGGCTTGCATGTCTCGTTTTTCATTTATCTTGAGGGTGACTGCGATCTTGTTACGATGTACAATACATAGATGAGCTTGAATATTGGGAAATTAATCCAGCACCGAACAATCCACTATGGATACTCGGAAATTACAGAACGAACAAAGCGAGAGAGATAACCAGGATCAAAATCCCTTTCAGAGTCAGTGGCGGTCCAGAATCCTTGTCAGTCTCCAGTTCTCGTGCTGTCTTCTTATCTTCCTCTCTGTTTGTTCCCGTAGAACCTGGTCAGTGAGCATTGGTGGCTTGGACGGCGCTGTGTTAGCGTGCTCTCCCACAGGATTAGTTTTTTTAGCCATGAAAAGTGCTGGCCTGCTGCCAAGTGTTCGGCGTCCTTTCACATGTTTTTGCCACCATTTTGTCTAAGATCAATGATCGACCGAGGTGAATCCTGTACCTGGAGAGTGCCGCCATCTACTTTGAGCATGTGCCCGAAACTTAAAATAGTTAGTGCCTGCGTGGTGGGGCCCCGAGGGCATATGGTCCTCAAGCCAAGAACCCAAGCTTTTCCAATATGGTCCTAGAACACATGGGCGTACGTACTGTCATAGCAGGGCCTCCCTGGTCTCCCGCGTTGGGCGTCTGCATCAATTGGTCACTGGAGGCTTTTCAACCTCACACCTCACTGCCAGAACGTGCCTGGCTGACTTTCGCGGAAATCAGTTTCCACCGGGGAAATGAGCTTTCAGCTGGGGGGCACAGTGACGAGGTCCGAGGGGAACTGACCTGGCAGACCTGAGGATCCAGACAAAGTTTTTTCGCTCTAGTATTTTCTCCCCTTAGTTTTGGGCAACCCGTTCTTCTTGCTCTCTTGGGTCTCGTACCTTACAGAGTCGGAACAAAGTTAAATCCCCATGTAAGAATTACTCACGGACGCCACGAATAATAATCTAAAAACTCAGAACCAAGGAACGGATTTAGGTTCTCTTTCTATTTTCGGTTAGTTTGCCGTTACCGATGTTGTATCCAATATTACGACTAGGACGTCTGTTTTCCGCATACCCCTGCTTTTAGAGATGTGCATATTTATATAGGCAGTGTTGCAGGGGAGTGCCTTGCTTCGAACCGCCATGACGCCATGACGCCATTTCAATGAGACTTCGTGCAGGCCTATTCATGTGAACAGGTCCGAATATTTTGACCGTACGAATGCCTTCGTGTCATAGGGCGCTCCTCTTTTGAGGGCTCCGTTCATCGTTATTCTTTCCATGGCTCATAACAGTCGAATTTGAGAAGGCTCTAGGTCTAGGTGGAGACAGACAACAGACAATTAGTAAAGAAATGCACCCCGCAGTCAGGTTTTCCACAGTGTTGTAATGTATAATGTATTCTAGAATAGATGATATTAAATGATTGTAGCTTGAGATAGCTTGGTAGCAAGAAGCTACCAGCGTCAAATTAAGTATATCAGACAACTGTGCAAAGAACCTCCGAGTCTTTCTCCACGCCATTCTCTAGAACAGGAACATCATGCTGGCTAGCAGGATGGCAGTACCAGCCACCTGAGCAGCTCCGGATCCAATACCAGAGGCCCCGTTGGATAGGGAGGTGCTCGAAGGCGAAGCAGTGTTGACCGTGGACGCAGTCGTGGAAGCCAGAGTCGAAGTCTTGGAGGCCGTAGACGAAGTCCGAGGGCCTCCGCCCAAACCACTGACCGTGTTAGAATTGAAGCTGCTCGATGTGGTCGATGTGGTCGTAGCACTTCCTGCAGCAGTCGACGTGGGAGCCGATGTGTCCACCGGCGGGACAGAGACCGGGTGGCCAACACCAGAGCACAAAGACACGACGACACTGGAAACGGCTAAAGGGCATGGTTAGAGGACATCATACGGAGGTGAATATGGCTTCTCATACCTTGTTGGTCTTTGACATCACAAGCTTTTTTGACGCAGGGCACAACCTGATCCACAAGGCCCGTCTTTGAGCAATGGCATGCGAAATCCGTCAGCTCAGAGCAGCCGTCCGCACCAAGGGCCGACGTGAGACAGCTAAGCTTCAAGAGGAGAGAGCACGGGTTAGTTTGAAACGAGATATGGAGCTGGGGCATTGAGCGGACAGGCCTTACAGAGCATTGTGGGATACTGGATAGCTGGGCGCTGGTGATGACACCGGCACCGAGCACGACAGCAGCAGCAGCGAGACGCATTTTGGCTATGAGGCGGAAACGAAGGGATGGAGAGACTGGAGGTTGTCTTGGTGTGAAGGGGCTCTCAACGCGACAAGCACAATAAATCTCGAATGTACTGTGGACTAGACTTATATGATCTGGCACTCCAGGCCCTATTTCTAGCTAGCGGAGTATACCGGCCACGAGCACATCGTTCATGTCACGTTATTGGTCGCGTAGAGTTATCTTTGAATCCTCTTTTCCATTGACTCAGTCAGCTCGGATCTTTTCAGACTCGGTCTGCTGATTTTTTATACAGAGAACCCTGTTACTATGGTACGGTTGGCCCTGTAATGGTATGAACAAATCAAATCCACGGTTGAACGAGGCGGACCCCCACAAAGATGGTTTAGCGTGATCCTTTGGCTCTGTTGCTGGAGTGTTCGTACCCCGACTACACGGCGTTACCCACACTTCAGTTGTCTCTAATTAAACGAAGTGGAGCGAGCCTGGGGGTGCGTGCGGGGTAATTGGAAAACCAAGCCACCGTTCAACTTGCCGTCCCCATGATCTCTGTCCATGGAGTCCAGTGACATTGCGAAACCTGAGATACCTCTCCTACAAGACATCATGTCGATGGGTTCTGACAGTAGGTGAACGAACAGTTCTGGAAAGGGCTTGCAATGGAAACAAGGCGTCAGATGGGAAGATGTGATGAGGTGGAGCCATGCAATTTGCGAGTTGGCAGATGAGCAGACCAAGATGATATACTCCGTCCAACGCGCGCTAACCGAACCTGGATGATAAACAGGCGATCCTTCTTCTATGGGCTAGAAGCATTCGTAGGACGTCAATTTTCTGACCATCATTGAGATGGCCAAATCCAGGGCCGGAAATGGCCAGAATTTGGAGATCACTTTTCTTTGAATTACTGGAACGCCGTATGAGCAAAGCAGTAGAGCAGAAACAAAGAATCTATGATGACGTACCAATGCCAACGATGTCAGACAGAGTGGTCGAATGTGCGCAACTTGGAGATTTTGAACTGATCACTTGTCGCTGTAATCAATGGCTTCCCATCATCATCCGTACTGCTCTCCCATAGTGCGCAAACTTCACTTCCAGCAAACTTTCGAGACAGTACACTTCGGCGGCGATCTCATATAAGGCAGCTCTGACGCGGAAAAGATACCCGCTGTCTTGTGACTCTTAGTCTTTTCCCAGTTGGAGTACACGTCTGTACAGAGAACAACGATGTAGGGATCAGCTGTGGTGTCTGCACAGATGAAGACTTGACCAGTATGCAACAGTTAATACTTTACTCCAGCTGCCAGGCGCACAGATGCACATACATGGAAGAAGAGGATCTCAACAATACTCAGCCAGCTTTCAATGGCGCTCCTGACGTTGTCCTTTCGTTGATTCAAGTGAGGAAACACATCGTAATCATCTTCTCTTTCTAACCCGAGCACGGCTCTCCATGATTGTACAAGAAAAGGACACGTCCCCCGACGCAACATGTCGTAAGATCCGCCTTACTCAATCCAAGTCTTCCCAGTCACGAGTTCGCGGCGCAGGTGAAATGCTTCTGGAAGCCATAAGGAAAGAATGTCTTTTCAAGAGGCCGGCTTGTAGGGATTGCTCATCCTATTCACTTTTGGTGCCTTTCCATACGTTCGATCTGCTCTTCGTTATCTGGCGCAGTGACCGCCACAGCCGCTTAGATCCCCTCGGGATGTGATCACTTTTGGCCTGATCAGGTCGCAGCAGGTGATCATCTAATAACCGGCCATCCTCTTTTGTCCACTCCATGAGGTTGCGAGAGGACAACAAGATAGCTGGATGGTCTGGTCCCAGGACTTTCCTCTGGAGCGCAACACATTGTTCCAGGAGAGCCAATGCGGCTTGAATCTTCCCTTGCAATTTCCAGAAGAAAGCCAAGCTGTACATGTGGCTCAGAGTGTGTGGATGCTCTGGCCCTAGCACCTTTTTATGTATCTCTGTTACCTGCACCTGCAGTTCCTCAGCTTCCTTTTCCTGTCCCAGTTGCCAGTATGTCAATGCTAAGCCGGCCATGCTAAGCAGAGTGTATAGATGCTCTGGCCCTAGCACTTGTTTCTGGATCCTCATCACTTCCACATTTAGCTCCTCTGCTTGCTTCCATTGTCCCTGAGACCGGTATATGGATGCCAAGTCAGACATGGTAGCCAAAGTGTCAGGATGCTCTGGTCCTAGCACTTGTTTCTGGATCCTCGTCACTTCCACATTTAGCTCCTCTGCTTCCTTCCATCGTCTCTGAGACTCATATGTGGATGCCAAGTCAGCCATGGTAACCAAAGTGTCAGGATGCTCTGGTCCTAGCACTTGTTTCTGGATCCTCATCACTTCCACATTCAGCTCCTCTGCTTCCTTCCATCGTCTCTGGTTCCTATATGTTGTTGCTAGGCGGTTCATATTTCTCAGAGTGCTCCGATGCTCTGGCCCTAGCACTTTTTTGTGCATCTCTGTTACCTGCACCTGCAGCTCCTCAGCTTCCTTTTGTTGTCCCAGATACCAGTATGCCCTTGCTAACTTGGCCATGCTAAGCAGAGTGTTGGGATGCTCAGGCCCCAGCACGCGCTTTTGGATATTTAACACCTCCATAGCTAGCTTCTCTGCTTCCTTCCATCGTCCAAGACCCCCATATGTTTCTACTAAGTAAACCATGCTAATCAGAGTTTGTGGATGCTCTGGCCCTAGCACCATTTTGTGCATCTCTGTTGCCTGCACCTGCACCTCCTCTGCTTTCCGTCGGTTCTGATTCATATATGTTGATGCTAACTGCGTCATGCTAAACAGAGTGTATGGATGCTCTGGCCCCAGCACCTGTTTCCGGATCTTTAGTACCTTCAAGAACTGATCTTCTGCTTCCTTATATCTTCCGTCACTGAGAAGGCAATCCCCAATGTTCTCAACCATATCAACATATTTCTCCTGCTCCTTTTGAAATTCAGCTTCTTCAGTCAATGAAAGAACATGAGGCAGATGTTCGCGCCACAGCTCCCGATTGGTATGGTCATTATCTGGAAAGGCTTCCCTTAATCGATCTGCTGTCTTTAAAATTTGCTGGCTGAACAGCTGGTTCTTCCTCACCCAGTTCCGGGTGGCAAGATGGACGAGTCGGTGAATATTAAGAGAACAGGCTTCGCCCTCTTCATTCACAAATGAAAAGGCCTTAAGAAGACCTATGGCATCGGTCCTTTTCTTTAATGATGTCGTCTGAGGAAGCAAAGACTGCGGAATGTGGCGAGGGTTGATACAGGCCATGAATAATAGATAGTCAATTGCTGTCGGATTCAATTGCTGAATTTGTTGGAATGAGATTCACCAAGTTGTTGCAACAGGATTCTGGATATCTTTGTACCGCCCCTCGTCCCCAAAGTTTTCACTCAGCAACTCAATCACGTCCGGCTCACTCTCATGTAAGAGTCTGCTGTATGCAGAGAGTCTAATATCTTTTTCATTGATATACGCTGCCGCCTGAGCAATCGCCAGAGGAAGGCAGACAAGCTCTTTAAGGAGGGCAATGGCTGCCTCATGATCATTGAGCAAGTCGGTCTCAATCAATGACTTTCGTAGGATCTCAATAGCAGTCTCTGTGTCCGGTTCAGAGATCATTATCACATGAGATGACGCCAGTCTCACGGCTATCTGCCGGCTTCGGGTGGTGAAGAGAATGTGGCCTCGCTCGCTCTCAGGCAGAAAGTCTGCCATTGTCCACATCTCCATATCATCTGCGTTATCACAAATGAGGAGCCATCTCGCCGTGCTTTCCAGGCTAAGATAAGCCTTGACCTGTTGTTTAACCTCTCCCGGCTTTGGGTCCGTGATTCCGAGCTTTAATGCGACGCTCATATAGGCCTGCTCCATGCTCTCGTAGCTGGTGCATGAGATCCACAAAATTGAGCATTCAGGGTCTCGATTCCGCATGCGGTATGCCAATTCAAGTATGATTTGGGTCTTTCCAACTCCGCCTAGTCCGCAGATAGCGATCCTGCCTGGGCTGTCCAGTTGCATGATCCATCCTTCAATTTGACTGATTTCTTCTTCCCGGCCCACGAATCGCGAGCTTTTTCTAAAGGGGACCATCCAAACTGATTCCTTTGATGCACCTTTCCCGGAGTACGAAGTAGGAACCTGTGACAGGAGGGCCTTCGCATAGGCAGCAGCCGCAAGGGCTGCATATTCTTGCCACTTTTTATTTTTGTGGGAATCACAGTAGTCGCAGATGCCTCGAATGGCAATGGATGGAAGTTCATCCATCAGACCGGCAGCTTCCATTTCAAAGCAGAGAATGTCTTCATTTTGGACAATGAAATCTCGGGCCCGCGCATCTTTTATGACCTGATCTCCAGAAGCGATCAAGCCATAATGAATGTAAGGCTCAGCAGTTGTTCGTGGAGGCCGATCTACTAGCTGTTTCTGATCACACGCTGAGCAGTTCGCTTCGTTCCCCTTATGGCCATACGTCGATTGGAACAGCCAGTCGTATTCTGGTCGGGAGAACTTCCTAGTTTCTTCTTTCTGCAGTGCATCACCTATGATTTTGCTGACTAGGTTCTTTCCAGTCATATAGTCACTCTCCAATTGAGCGACAGCCTTTAACAAGATTGGAGGAGGTTTGTTGAGAGATCCAGTGCGCTGAAAATGTCCTCCACTGAGTGTTTTGCCATAGTCATACTGGATAACGCCGCCTGAGGTAGCAGTTGGCTTGCTAACCACAACATCACCAAGGCGAACGTCGGTCTTGCTGGGAACTCCCCCTCCAATGCCGACCATCAATCCAAACCGGATATTCGGATAGGTCGAAACCATGTGCGACACCACATTTGAAGCAGATATCGTTCCGTATACACCCAAAGGTAGGCAGGCCACGACCACATTGTGGCCGCTGACGGTTCCGAGAGTGTAGACGTTGTGATCGGCTTCTGGTTGCGGTAGTGAAGCATGAACTTCATCCAACATCACCTTCGCCGCTGCTGTTTCCAGCGGCAAAGCGCAGATCCATGACACCGTATAGTCGCTGTGTGATAGTATTCGGGTGGCCATTCTCATGAGTCACTGAGGATATAGCACACCAACATACAACACTCGCTGTCTCTCCGTCATGCGGTGGCCGTTGTCCGTACGTTCCGTTGATTGCGATTTGGTGTAGAGGGGGAATCAGCTCCATGAGGCTGACAGCAAGGCTATGTTTTACCCAGTGCGTCCACTCAAATTGCAAGCTAATCTGGTGCCCAATAAATGCATGCCGTGAAGGACTAGCCACCAGCAGAGTTGTCAGGCGCCGCTAGGCTGAGCAGGGGGGTATAGCAAACAAATCACAGGCGCGAACACGCACCAATCAGATTCAATGCAATCAGAGTCATGCGTAGAGATACAACACACCATGGTGATTCCACAGTCGAGTGTAATAGTTTACGGAGCCCACAGTTCACCCATCTGGTTGTCGATGTACGTATATGTAAACTTTTTGATAGAAGTATAGACGAATAGATGGCTCTAGTCCTCAATTATATCAACTTCCTCCTTCGTCAGTTGCAAATATTTACATTCAGAAGCAAGATGATCACGCTGAGTTTATTCCAAGCTTTCCATAGAAGCGGCAGTAAGTATAGAGTACAGCGTACAGTTGCATTCATCTTTCCAACTTCTTTGCTCTCTTCAACCTGACTGATTGCAACACCACATATATCCTCCCGTGCACGAACCATTGAAAAAGAAACATATAGCTAAATCACCCCAATCCTGAGAAATCTCCCAGTTGCTTGTTACGCCGTTCAGTCCCACGTATGGGGGTGTTCATAGGGTGAAGCACTATAATGCCATAACGCTCATAATCCCCGTCGAAACTCGACAAGAAATATACGTAGACGCTGCAAGGGCCAACAGAAGCACTCTTGAATCTGATGGGAGATTCCGTCAATCAATGGCATGCTTCCTCACGAAGTTCAACCGGCCTCAGGTACTGCCTCGAAGCAGCAGGACAGCATCTGTTGCTGGCGTTGTGTTTTTGTTTCAATGGCAGCCCCTCTTCCAGGTGGTATGTCATGCCATATCGCCTTCTTTCTAGCTCGATAGCGTGCCGATTTCCGGTGGAAGTACCGGAACGGCAAGAACGTGGTAGGTACATATATGCGCCGAGGGACTGTCGGATGCTCCTCAGCATTGCCGATCGTACTTATGAACAGACGGCGAAGCTCTGTTACACCACGCGTGAAGTGTTGCTAAGCATGAAGAGAAGAAGAGAAAGAAACGAATTATATATAGTATAGTCAGACGACTATATCCAGAGTTGATAGATATATCAAACATGTAAAGAGGGAAGCTGTGACAGGAAGATCCAGTAGACAGACGGGAGGTTGGAGAAAACTACCACATATACATATCCAGCAGAGGCAGAGCTTTCTGAGCCTCAAGTTGGATTGCACAGCAGCTCAACCATGACAGAGAATCAAAGACGCAGACGCTGAACAAAGATATGTCTACAAGCTGTTTCGGGAATACACATTGTTTGTTAGAAAGTGATCTTTGCTAAGTAGCAAATACGTAAGTCAAAGCGCCTCATCTCTCGTTCTTTGACTGTCACTATTTCCCACCCGCAACCTCTGCATGATACAAAGACATGTACATTGCTTCTCAATGTGGGCCCAAAAGAGATTGGAGCCATTGGCTAGAGATCTGTTTGATTCTTGTCTTCAAACGACATCGGAGTTGCCGCCCCAAGCAAGGGGTAGAAACACTGCACTATCATGAGAAAATCATACTCTATAGGGGCATGCAGTGGCTAATGCATACGAGGAGCCAATCTTTATCTTTTTTCACAGAAACTGTTGCATCTGTGGCTGTGCTCCTGTACTCTGCAGTTCTTTGGTTAGTTGCATTGGTAAGGGATTCTCTGGGATTCTGCCAGTTTACATCACACGTAGCGGAATAAGAGACAGATCGTGAGACATTTGATGATCCAAGCACGGCTAAAGGCATTAAAATTCTCTCCATTCTTTACCCTCACCATCAGACTCTTCTATCGCTTGCGTGCATCGGGCTGGGATGCCCTCTAGCTTGGAGAATCCTTGACTAATGCGGCCCTCCGTCGCAAGGTAGAACAGTTTGTTAATATCATATTCTCCTCGAGGGAGTTGTTCAGTACACCAGAGATCTGCAAACTCATCCGTGTCTTGATGTTCTTGCCTTTATCCAGCGGCTGAAGAAGTTGAGCACTGATCTAGTCCATGAGCCAAGGTGACCACTTTCTGTCTTCAATCCTCAGAGCTAACGACCTCACGACCGGTCACTGGAGAGTAGACTGGACGAGGACAAGGCTAAGTCCTCTATCAGATGCTGATGCTGGGGGAGCTTTTGGTCAAGATATGATGTAATTGACTGAGATTTGAGGTACTTCGCTTTTTTGGACTCTTCAAATCCCTTCTTTCTTACCAGACTTGGTTCTCCATTGATTGCCGTCATGCTACTCGGTTGGAACGAAGATGATTCGTACGTCAGTAAGACTTCCCATAATCGGTCCATTCCACTTGATCCTGAGAGCTGTATATAGGAGTTCTCTAGCACATCTTCAGGCATTGTTTGCGTCAGTGGTAGTAGTTTCACCCTGCACCGATATCCATATGTCTAGTATCATTCTAGCCATTGGTAACTTGACTGCTTTGCTCGATCCAAGATCTCGAGCTTCTCACCCTTCGTCTTGCGATTAGCAAGAATCGTACCTGTCGTCGACCTGTACTGTGTTTTCACAACATTCCGCATCACGTATATATTACTTATCGTATCATTAGATACGATACGATAATAAACCTGTAGACAGTCTCAGACGATACGTCCTTTTGCTGCATCAACCTCAATTGATGAAGATTGATTGATTAGCATGGCGGTTGAACTCGCCCAACCGTACTCCGACAGCGGACCATTGCAACGCTTGTAAGGCAACATGGGAACTCATACGCCCAGAATATCATCGTATTTATTGAGAGCATGGAATCAGTAGGAAACCAACACTCTATGGCTCTAGCATCAAGACGACGTTTAGAGTAAGTTGTGAACTTGTGAGTTGTGACTCATTGTTGATAGGAGTCGGCCCCATCTGGTTAGCGCCGATGTCGCTCTCCGCATGAATCACCAAATAATTATTTAGATTCCGACCTGTCCATCACCTCCTACTTGCAACATTTTCCTCTTCAATTCATCAATTCCTTCATCTACAGCTTCCACAATGAGTGCTCCCAAGGCTGTCGCAGAGAACATGCTCTGGGGTGGTCGATTCACCCGTGTGTACCCCCTACCGCAGTTTCAATGCCTCCGAATACAACTAACCTACCTATCTTTTGACTCATAGAGGGCCTCGACCCCCTGATGGTTCAGTACAACCAATCCCTCCCCTACGATCGTATCTTCTGGAAGCAGGACATTGCTGGCTCGCTTGCCTTCGCCCGAGCCAACACCAAGACCGGCATCCTGACACAGCACGAGTTCTCCGAGATCGAGCGCGGGTTCAAGCAGATCGCCGAAGAATGGAGCACCAACACCTTTGTCGTCAAGGAGAACGACGAAGACATCCACACAGCCAACGAGCGTCGACTCTCCGAGATTATCGGCAAGGAGATCGGTGGCAAGCTGCACACCGGCCGGTCCCGCAACGAGCAGATTGCAACCGACATGCGCCTGTGGCTGCGGGACGAGCTGCGCAAGCTGGACGCCGTCCTGTGCGACCTCGTCAAGGTCTCCATCGCGCGCGCCGAGAACGAGCTCGACTTCATCATGCCCGGCTACACACACTTGCAGAAGGCCCAACCCGTCCGGTGGAGCCACTGGCTGCTGTCGCATGCTACTGCCTTCGCCAGTGAGCTGCAGCGTCTGCGGGAGGTCACCCGGCGTGTCAACCGCAGCCCTCTGGGCACCGGCGCTCTGGCCGGAAACCCCTTCCAGATTGACCGGGAGGCAATGGCCGCGGAGCTGGGCTTCGAGGGTCTGMTGTACAACTCGATGAACGCGGTGGCCGACCGCGACTTTGCCATGGAGACCATGCAGTGGGGAAGCTCGTTCATGCTCAAGATCTCTCGCTGGGCCGAGGATCTGATCATCTACAGCAGTTTGGAATTTGGGTTCGTCCGGTTGTCGGACGCCTACTCGACCGGCTCGTCGTTGATGCCTCAGAAGAAGAACGCAGGTGAGTTGCTCTTGTGTACTGTCGTTCCTCACCTCAACTAACGAGACCAGACAGCCTGGAGCTTCTGCGTGGCAAGGCCGGTCGCGCCTTCGGCCACATGGCTGGCTTGATGATGACCATTAAGGGTCTCCCCACCACCTACAACAAGGACCTGCAGGAGAGCGTCGAGCCCCTGCTGGACCACATCAAGACCGTCAGCGACAGCATCCAGATCGCCACCGGCGTCCTGTCCACCCTCACCGTCCTCCCGGAGAAGATGACCGCCGCCCTGGCGCCCGAGATGCTGGCCACCGAAATCGCCGACTACCTCGTCCGCAAGGGCGTCCCCTTCCGCGAGGGCCACCACATCTCCGGCCGGGTCGTCGCCTTGGCCGAGAAGAACAATGTCCCCATGGACACGCTGTCGCTGGAGCAGTTGAAGGCGATTGACGCGCGCTTCGACGAAGACGTCCAGGCCTGCCTGGACTACGAGCGTGCCGTTGAGCTGAAGGACGCGGTCGGCGGCACCAGCCGCCGTGCTGTGCTGGAGCAGACCGCCGTTCTCAGGGGTCTGTTGTAAGAATATGATATGTCGTAATATTAGGAATGAAAAGCTAGATCTTTCGGGTTATATGTTTTAGTCGGTATATAGAATACATTTCGGTCTTGTCTAGCCAACAATTGCTCTATATAACATTTACCACCAACGGTATACAAAGGAATCCACGAGACAAATTCAATGCATCAAAGCACCCAGCAATAGACACTAGGTATACAGTCACCAAGATCAACCACCCAGCACCTGAGCAGCAACCCAACCGCCGACGTCAACAACAACGTCAAACCCCCGTCCCACTCTCAAAACTCTTCCTCCACTCCTCCCTGCGTCCTTCCTCCTCAAAATGCATAAAGCTAAGCACATGGCCCAGCCTCTCCCCAGAACCAGGATACGGATCGTCCCGCGGAACTCTATAATCGAAGTTCGCGTCCAGGATAACCCCGTCCGGGGTGATGATCGACGGCAGCTGTGGCTGAGGCGGCTGGTCTGGATCCGGGTTGGTATGCTGCGCAGGGGGAATCTGCAACTGCCGGCGCTCGGGAGGGATATTGATGAGTTCGCTTTGGGAGTAGGCTGCTAGCTCGGCGCGTTGGCGGTAGAAGCCTGTGTCTGAGAGTTCGGGGGTTGTGTCTGCTCTGTCTGGGGCTGGTGGTTGGGGACTGGTGCTTGTGCTTGTGCTGATGTTGAGGTTGAGATCGGGGGAGGGGTGGTTCGTTGTGGATGATGCTAGTGGTACCGAGGACATGGAGCTGTGGTGGGTTGTCTCAGCCGGGGCTGAGGTTTTACTTGTGCTTGCGTTTGCGTGAGTGGACGCTTGGCTTATGGTCTTTGACGTTGTGGATGTTGGTTCTGAGGCGGGCACCGGTAAGGCTTGGTTGACAACTGGGTTGGCTCGCGTGTTGCAGTTTGATGCTGGAGCTTGAAGCACGTCAGTTTTGAAAACTCATGTAGGGGACGGTCGTAACTCACCATCAAGTAATCGTCCTTCGTTCCCTGCCCCAAGACCCCTACTGCTTGCAACGGTTGACGCGTTCTCATGGTTGTCGCCACGAGGGACACGCCAGCGGAGCAAAACGAAGCGTTTACCACGCTTCTTGCGAGACCGATAAAGCAGGAAGAACAGCCCGCTTAGCAGTATCAAAGCCAGTACGCCTCCCACAACACCCCCGATCAATGCGCCGTGGTCATGGCCAGAACTCGCACCGGCAGTATCAGTACCCGTCGCCGGTGCAACAGCCTGAGTCACAGTCCGAGTCGGAATGATGCCTGGGATATCTCCCTGCGAGCTTGTAGAGGGTGCGGTGGTGATAGCTGTCGTTGGTGAGCTCGCTGTGGTAGTTGAGGCAGCTTTCGAGGTGGTTGCAGTGGTCGCAATCGACAATGTAGTCTGGCCATCTTGATCCGGGCACACCCCAGTATTGCACGGATCGACTGAGCAACAGCCGTGGAAGTTGCCCTTGGAGCAAACATACCATTGCTTGCTGCCAGTGCAAGTGTTGGCTTGACGGGCGAGATGGAGAGTCATCTCTCAGACGACTGAGACGTCAAATAAGACAACTACAACTTGCACTCACACTCGCAGAAGATAGAATCAATAAATTGAAACGACAGTGACGACAACAACAACGAATGCATAAGAGCGAGATCTTCAGAGGCCACAGCTAAGTGGTTACCATGGAGTCGAGCGCCATGTGGTCGTTCTGATCTAAGAACGGTAAAAGGAGGTATGAGGTGCAATGAGCATTGTTTCTTTTCCTGGGAAAGCATGGCTATGCAGGTCGTGCTGAAACAACTTACCCCAAAACGAAAGAGCCATGCGAAGTGGCAACAACTCAATGACTCGAGTTCTTTGTCTGCCAAAAATATTGGTCGGGGCACGGTACTCGATGCGCAATCATTCAATCTATGAAGCCGACACCAGCCACCACAAGGATTACCGACTCAATGTTCGTAGCGGAGGACAGGCGAAGCATTCTTCACCGTCGAATCCGAGATATGTGGAAAGAAAGCTATGGTAGCAATAGTGGCATTCGTCTGGACTGGAAGGATCAGCGCTTTGCATCACTACCTTACGACTGAGCTACTAGACATCACTGAATCCAGGTCCATTGAAAGGATAAAAGCTCATTGACTTGCTGATGCTCTTTGACGACCAGTATCTAATCGTAGGCATTCGACAGGCCCGTGGGGTGATTTCTTTGTCTTGAGACGAGGGACTGTCAAACAAAGAAAAAGCCAGGAACACTGCACAACCGGATTAGGCCATTTTCGACCAAGGTCAAAGCCAGAGGAAATTCCGAGGGCACGTACCATGGCAGCAGGAATTAAGAGACTTGCCTCCAGCCTGCCATATAGCGGTTTTATTGAAGAATTCTAAGTTGGATCGGATAGCCCTATCCTGACGCAAAAGTAACTCCAATTGTATATGAGAAACTGCTATGAAAACAAATAACGTGAGTACACCTAACTCATCGCCTGAAAGGGAAAACATGGATATACAGTTATAAAACAGGGAAATGCAGAATTTTCATGACGCTCCTTTTGATCAATCCATCCTCCACAGTTCAGCAAAGCAATTAAGGGCTGATGGGTCGAAAAGCCTGTGGTTCCTATCTTGAGGTTGACCCGGATCCTGTGGCCAATCCAGCCTCATTGAAGACATGTGAATGCTGAGATTACACTTCACATCAAGTGCAAAGGAATGTATCTAGTAGACACGCTTGAAGGGAGGCACACTCTTGCACTCGTTCTCGTCGAGGGTCTTGTGCTCGACAGCACGGTAGCTGAGGTCGATCTCACCGTGAGGCTTCTTCTGCCAGGTGAGAGTGTGCTTCATCCACTGCTCATCATCACGCTCGGGGTAGTCCTCACGGGCGTGGGCACCGCGAGACTCCTTGCGGTTGGCAGCGGCAACGGCGGTTTGAGTACTAGAGGACATCTTGTTAGCATATATTTGAAAATTTCAGAGCCGAAAGGATACATACGCGCAAGTAAGCAGGTTACGAAGTTCCAGAGTCTCGACAAGGTCAGAGTTCCAGATCATGCTGCGGTCCTTGGTACCGACTTGGTCGAACAACTTGTCGATGGCGGTGATCTTCTCAACACCCTCATCCAAACTCTCCTGGGTACGGAAGACGCTGACATCAGTCTGCATGGTCTTCTGCATGGCGTTACGGATCTCGTGGGTCGACTTGGGGCCATCGGCGTTGCGGACAAAGTCGAGGTCCTTGATGGACTCGGCACCAGCGTCGGAGCTCAGCTCACGATGAGCCTTGCCAGGGGTGGCGATGTCACGGACACGGTGAGAAACGGCACGGCCGAAGACGACGAGATCGAGGAGGGAGTTGGCACCCAGACGGTTGGCACCGTGGACGGAGACACAGGCGGCCTCACCACAGGCGTACAGACCGGGGACAACCTTGTCGTTGCCCTGCTCATCCACAGTCAAGACCTCACCAGTGTACTTGGTGGGGATACCACCCATGTTGTAGTGGACAGTCGGCAGGACGGGGATGGGCTGCTTGGTGACGTCGACACCAGCGAAGATGGAGGCGGTCTCCGAGATACCGGGCAGACGCTCGTGCAGAAGCTCAGCGGGCAGGTGGCTCAGCTGCAGGTAGATGTGGTCCTTCTCGGGACCGACACCACGGCCCTCACGGATTTCGAGGGTCATGGAACGGGAGACGACGTCACGGGAAGCCAGATCCTTGGCGGTGGGGGCGTAACGCTCCATGAAACGCTCACCCTCGGAGTTGAGCAGGTAACCACCCTCACCACGGGCACCCTCGGTGATCAGGCAACCGGCACCATAGATACCAGTTGGGTGGAACTGAACGAACTCAAGATCCTGGTTGGGCAAACCAGCACGGGCGACCATGGCCATACCGTCACCAGTGCAAGTGTGGGCAGATGTGCAGCTGAAGTAGGCACGTCCGTATCCACCAGTGGCCAAAACAGTGTGGTGGGCCTTGAAGCGGTGCAGGGTACCGTCCTCCTGGTTGTAGGCGATGATACCACGGCACTCGCCATCCTCCATCAGCAGATCAAGGGCGAAGTACTCGATGAAGTAGTTAGTGTTGTGGCGCAGAGACTGTCCGTAGAGAGTGTGGAGAAGAGCGTGACCGGTACGATCAGCGACGGCGCAGCAACGGTAGGCCTGACCACCCTTGCCGAATTCCTTAGACTGACCACCGAAAGCACGCTGGTAGATAAGGCCATCCTCGGTACGGGAGAAGGGGCATCCGTAGCCCTCGAGCTCACGAACACTAGCGGGAGCCTCTCTGGTCATGTAGTGGATGGCGTCCTGGTCACCAAGCCAATCGGAACCCTTCACAGTATCGTACATGTGCCATCTCCAGTCGTCGGGGTGCATGCTGCACATCGAGGTTAGCGCAATCATCCAAGATACAACTCCATCATTTCATTGACATACTTTCCCAGAGCAGCATTGATACCACCCTGAGCAGCAACAGTGTGAGATCTTGTAGGGAAGAGCTTGGAGACACAGGCAGTGTTGAATCCGKCTTCCGCCAGACCGAAGGCCGCACGCAGACCGGCACCACCTGCACCGACAACAACAGCATCGTATTCGTGGTCCTGCGGTCAATTAGACCAGCTTGTTTCCATGCTAATGCGACAGTCACTTACAATAACAGGATACTTCGAGGAAATGTAACCAGTAGCCTCCTTAGCGCGCAAAGGACGGTTGGCGAATATGCGGGCTGGAAGAACGGAGTTAGTGAACGGTGGGGAGGTCAACTTCGCGGGATTCAATGCGTACCTGCTGGCCTTGTCGAGGAGAATAGACGTCTCTGGTCCCTCAAAGCACGGGAAATCTGCGCAAATATGCGAGTCAGCACGGCAACAGTACAGAATAAAGGGTCGTCAAAAGACCCTCGGGTAACCGACCTTCGAAGCGGGAGCTAGGCTCCGCAAGCTCAGGGAGCTCATTGTGGGCGGATCAAACGAAAAGAGACACTATTCTATATGACTCTGAGAGGAGGCTATCAGAGGAGGAGGACCAACAGCACCAAGGCGGTTGTTAGTGGGAAGAGGAGGGGAGAACAGGCAAGACGAGGTCGGAAGCCGGTGGTAGTATTCACGAGCTGCACTTTTGGATCGTCGGTTCTCAGAAGAACAGGAAGAGTAGCTGACATAATCTTCCCTCACTTGCCGACGGGGAGGACCGGGGCCGAGCCAGCCAATCAACTGGCGCGCAGTAGTAATCACCTCGGGCAGCCGGGAGCTTCTCATTGGCCGAAATGGGCAAGGCACGTGGCCGGTCTTCTATTTAACCCGGCGGCAGCGAAGAATTCCGGGGTGAATGGCCGATGAAGACGATGAGACGGGGTTGATTTATAGATGAGCTTCAAGTATTCAATAAGCTGCTACACTTTATTCTCTAGGCCAAATTGAAAAGCTGAACTTATTTCCAGCACAGTATGGGTGGAACTCGGCTATGCCTCGGTGGGAATCACGTGACTATGCGTATATCTCATCCAACCGATCGATCGACTTACTAGGACACAACTAGTACACCATGAGTATGTTGGCATCTGATAATGCATAGTAGATCATATTAAGGAAGCATCATAGACCGAATCACCGAGCTAAATCTGATCATACATCCATCCAGCCATGCAATGTAACCCAAGATGCAATAAGACGTCATTTAATTGTACTGCATGTATGTCGCCGTCGAGTTGAACTTGAGGTTGCCCTTGATGACCTTGTCCACAGCGGCCAAGAAGTCCTTCTCTGTGGCGACCTTCCGCCGGGCCCGGATCGCAAACATGCCAGCTTCTGTGGCAACACTCCGTAGCTCCGCACCGGTAGCATTAGGGCACAGTCGGGAGATCAGCTCCCACCGAATGTCTCTCTCGACTGACATACTCTTGGCATGAATGCGGAGGATGTTGGCGCGACCTTCAACGTCGGGAAGCGAGAACTCGATCTTGCGGTCAATACGACCAGGACGCATCAGGGCAGGGTCCAAGGTCGACGGTCGGTTGGTTGCAAACATGACCTTGATGTTACCACGGGCATCGAAACCATCCAGCTGTGTAATCAACTCAAGCATAGTACGTTGAACCTCGTTGTCACCGCCAGCTCCATCGTCGAAACGAGCACCACCGACCGCGTCGATCTCGTCAAAGAAGATGATGCAGGCCTTCTTCGTACGGGCCATCTCAAAGAGCTCTCGAACCATTCGTGCACCTTCACCAACGTACTTCTGAACCAACTCGCTACCGATAACACGGATGAACGTGGCGTCGGTCCGGTTAGCGACTGCTCGAGCGCAGAGGGTCTTGCCAGTACCGGGAGGACCGTACAGCAGCGCACCCTTGGGCGGATCAATACCGAGGTTGACGAATCGTTCTGGTGACAGCAAAGGCATTTCGACAACTTCTCTCAACTTCTCGATCTGTTCCTTGCATCCGCCAACATCGCCGTACGTCACATCCGGTTTGTCTTCGACAGTCATCATCGTCACACTAGGGTCGATCTTGGGAGGAAGAGGCAACATGATCTGGTACTTATTCCGGTCGACGCTACAAAATAATCAGAATTGCCAAAAACAACACAAACCGTAGCCACTTACCCGACCCTCATGCCTTCTTCGATATCTGTAGGGCTCACTCTCTCCCCTAGATTCACGACAAACTTGGCAATCTGCTTGACGTTGATGACATATTTGCTCTTATCGGGATCCTTCTCGTCGGAAATGATCTTTGTACAACGAGCCACCTGCAATGGCTGTTCCTCTGCCATGCGTTGCCTATCTGCCGCGACATCCCAAAGGTGTGGAGGCGCAAGACCGGTGTCGGATTCCTGTCTAAGGTCAGCCAACATCCGGAAATAAGAAGCATCATCCTTAACAAACCTTAACACCAATCTTCTCGTTTACGCTCGCGTGTTTGTCCTTGATCTGCTTTTCGAGCTTCTTTAATGCGGTCGCGTAAGGAGCGGCGCCGTATGTCTTGAGTACTTGAATGTCACTGTCTCATAATCAGCCGATACATCATAGTTTTCATTTAGAGCTCAGCTTGCTCCCAGCCGCAACATACTCGTCTGTGAGAGGTGTGATCTTCTTCTCCGGTTCTTCGTCGTCAGCGAAGTTCTTCTGGTACTTCTCCCAGTTCGCTCCCGTGGCGCTAGGCATGGTGAGACTGGACTGCGGAACCGGATGACAAGGAAGGCCAGGGAAAAAAAGAAATCAATACAGTCGTAACAGAATAGGGTTTATGATGACAGTATAAGGTCGAAAGAGTCTGACGAGATGGATGTGTGAGGAGAAGTTTGATTGGGAAAGTGATGTGATCGAGCTCTCAAGCTTGAGCTGCTGTCACCGACGGGTTCCAGCTGTTGACGCTAGTGGCCGCCAAGCATCACCACCGCCAAAGCACCTTCGAAGAAATTCCCAGAGCCGCTTCCAGACACTGGATCTGCTCCCCTCATCACGACCCGTGTCCCTGTTCAACTTCTAGTTTATTCCTGTGCCTCTATCCGCGGACATATTCAAAATGGCGACCGCAGTCTCCCAGGGGGCCCCTGGCACTACTTTCAAGGTGGGCGGTTTTTACGGAACAAATACTGCTTGTGGGCCGTTTACTGATACTCGCGCAGGACAAGGAGAAGCCTATGGCTGTTCGGACAGCCAACATTCTGGCTGCTAGAGGTATTTACCATTGCTTTTGCCTTTGTATTACATGATAGCTGACATGATTCTAGCCGTCGCCGATGCCATCAGAACGGTTTGCAATCCAGAAACCCACATATGTCGAAGGTGAGGGGCTAACGGCTTTTGCAGTCTCTGGGGCCCAGAGGAATGGATAAGATGGTATGGTCATGTCCAAAGTTGCATGTTGATCAATGCTAACTGTCATTAGATCCAAACACCCAAGGGAAACACGATTATCGTACGAATTTCAGTCCCGAAATATGCAGCTTGGCGCTAACCCCTCCATAGACCAACGATGGAAACACGATGCTGAGAGACATGAGCGTGATGCACCCTGCGGCCAGGATGCTTGTCGATCTGAGTGCTGCTCAGGATGTCGAAGCTGGTGATGGAACAACTTCCGTGGTCGTGATCGCTGGTAGCTTGCTCGGAGCCGCCGAGCGCCTGTTGGGCAAGGGTATCCATCCCACCATCATCTCCGAATCTTTCCAGCGAGCCGCTGCTGCTGCGGTGGAAATCCTCCAGAACATGTCTCGCCCGATCAACCTGATGGACCGTGCTACTCTCCTGCAAGCCGCTTCTACATCGCTATCCTCCAAGATCGTATCGCAGCATTCTGGCCTTCTTGGCCCTATGGCCGTGGATTCGGTGCTCAAGGTCATCGATCCTAAAACAGCAGAGAACGTGGATCTGAGAAACATCAGAATTGTGAAGAAGGTCGGCGGTACAATTGAGGACAGTGAGATGGTTGACGGTCTCGTGTTGAACCAGCCCGTCATCAAGAGCAGCGGCGGCCCCACAAGAATCGAGAAGGCCCGGATAGGCTTGATTCAGTTCCAGCTCAGCCCTCCCAAGCCTGATGTGCGTTTATCTACCTCAAAAAGCACGATACAGATGGCTAACGTGTGCATGAATGCAGATGGAAAACCAGATCGTGGTCAATGACTACCGTCAGATGGACAAGATCCTCAAGGAGGAACGCCAGTACCTCCTGAACATGGTCAAGAAGATCCAGAAGACCAAGTGTAACGTCCTTCTCATCCAAAAATCGATCCTCCGTGACGCCGTCAACGACCTCTCCCTTCACTTCCTTTCACGACTTAAGATCCTTGCCATCAAGGACATTGAGCGGGATGAGGTTGAGTTCCTGTGCAAGAGCCTTGGCTGCAAGCCCGTCGCCAATATTGACTCCTTCACTGAGGACAAACTGGGTACTGCTGACCTTGTCGAGGAGGTCCAGGCGTCTGGTGCTCGGTACGTCAAGATCACCGGCATCAAGACACCTGCCACTGCTGCCAACCAGACCGTATCTATCGTCGCTCGCGGCGCCAACAACCTGATTCTGGATGAGGCCGAGCGGTCTCTGCACGATGCTCTCTGTGTCATTCGCTGCTTGGTCAAGAAACGCGCCCTTATTGCTGGTGGTGGTGCTCCTGAAATTGAGGTCGCCCACTCCTTGGCGATGCGTGCCCGTGAGCTCGCAGGCACCGAGGCCATATGCTGGAAGGCGTTTGCGGATGCCATGGAGGTTATTCCAACCACATTGGCTGAGAACGCCGGTCTGAATTCGATCAAGGTTGTCACTGAGCTGCGACACCGCCACGCTCAAGGCCAGCACAATGCTGGTGTCAGCATCCGCAGCGGTGGTGTGCGGGACGATATCACCGAGGAGAACATTCTGCAGCCGCTCTTGGTGAGCACCAGCGCCATCGAACTTGCGGCTGAGACGGTTAAGATGATTATGAGAATTGATGATATCGCTCTATCGAGATGATTTGGAAGCATATAACTCAGAAGGGATCAGATGTGGTGTATTATGATAAGTAATTTTACCCAAAAATCAAATGATTCAGAATATAGATGATCCACCAATGAATATAACTCTTACGCTGCGTACTACTTCCATTGTCTTGTGCTATCTGACCTTTCTAACTCAGAAGTCACCATATATGCAGTGTCAGACCTGCTACGAATGCTGCCCGATTCTTCAGGCCGCGAGCGTCCTGACTTCTGCGAATGTCGTCACTTTGACTCGTTGAAGCCAGACATGGCCGCTCTACCTTGGTTCAACACAGTCATAGTTGCTAAATATGGCTCTCTCGCAGACTCCTCTCTCCTTCTCACTTTTCTCTCTGACAATCTACAGTCGTTCGCTCTACTCGCAACAATCAACATATTCACTCGCTTGATAACCAACTACAAACTTTCGCTTGTCCCAGCAACTAAACAACATGAAGGTCCAATCCATCACTGCTTTCGTGAAAGGGCTGAAGGCCGTCATCGCCCAGATGGAGACAGTTCCTCACAGTTCCTGCCACAAGCGGGTCCTTAAACAAGCTGCCACTCCCCCACCAACTATCGATCTCGACCTGGGAGACGATGAGCTCTTCCCGTGCGACTGCACTCTACAGGGCCGAAACTCTCTGGATGCCGCCTACCTCAGCAACCCACTACTCAGCTCGCTCAAGAGCAAGGAGTGCGGCCTGGACTACATCAGGCGCGCTCTCGACTCCCTTGAGGCCATGAGCACCTGCACGCGGTGCTCGGGGAAGCAATACGTCCGAACCTTCCTCTATCAGCTCTGCCGAACGATCTTGCAAAGATGCCGGGCGTTCCATCAGCACCTGGTTCGGACGTACGAGGGCAAAGACAAGCAGCCTCTTTTGCTGGATAATTACCAGCTTGCAACGGTTGAGGAACGGGCCGCGCTGCTGTGTATGTTCACTTATGTCGAGATAAAGCGGTTCCACGGCAGTGTGGGTCGCATTATTGAGACGCTCAGAGAACAGCCCATGTTCGATGAGGATTCGTGGGCCCTCATCAAGGGTCAGGCCTATAAGCTAGCCATCGATACGGCTGAGCTTCGCTTCAGATCCATCCACTGTTAAGTTGCTCAATGGGATGGATAGGATGAATTGTATTTGAACACACTTTGTATCTTGTTTTCGCAAATACCCAGGAAGATCTTTGCAGGAGTTTGGAGTTTATTTGCTATTTAGAGTGTATGGATCATTCTGTATTCCCTCGCTTGAAGCAGGCATTCATATACGTTAATAAAGATCGTTAGCCTGCACGTCGACTGGTGACATCTTGAAGTTTTGCGGCTCAGGTCCTATGTTCTTGATCCTTGAAAGCCCCAAGTAGAATATACGCAGCTTGGTTTGATATACAACAAATTGCTAATTAGTGCCATCCTGCCCCTGCAGTATGTAAAACCTCACAGTTATCTCTAGCGATAGATAGATGAAAATTGACTTAGTTGATATTCATTGAAGTTGTGAATAGATCGAGATACCCAAATAGGAGCTCAATAAGCTGAATAGGATCGGCTGCCAAGAGGCGCTATCTGCATCGCCGCCATCAACAACAGCTTACCCCAGACTTCATCAATCATCACTATTCCCACTTTACAGCCATTCCTTGACTTTCTTTGTCTACTGCGAAGAATTGACCTTGTCTGGACGATGATCTACCTGTTTATTTGATGATATTCTTATAGATGGCTGCAAATTAGCCTTCCTGACTGCCACAACCTCGCTCGTTCAAGGATCCTTATCGTCGATCTGCTGTGACCCGTCACATGTAACAATCACTGCAGCCTCTGTCTTACAACCACCGTGACAATGAGGCCGTCCGACGACCATGGAGACACCTCTGAATTCCTTCCCATGACCCGCCCTCGAACTGCATCCGTCGCATCTCAAACCTCCACCGACTCTAGTCTATCCACCGAATCCCTCTTTCCGGGAGAACAGAAACCCTTCCCCAACGCCAACGTGACAATGGGACCCGCCGACGATGACCGATACCGCGACCTCGAGGATGGTGAGGTGGAACAAACAGAGCCGTTCCTTGCGTCGTCCAAGAAAACAACCACCGGAGGCGGTCGCGCACGGCGGATATTCTGGGTTCTCGTTCTTCTCTGCCTTGGAGGCTGGCTGCTTGCCTTCGTACTGTTTTTAACAGGGGGACGAGCGAACTACCAGACTGCTTCGGACGCATTACAGGCGCACGGAGCGGACTCCGCGTTGGGTAGCACGAGCACAAGCTCCGGCAAGCCTGTCACGTTGCAGCAGGTGCTCTCGGGGGAATGGCTTCCACGGTATCATGCGATCGGGTGGGTTGCGGGGCCGAACAATGAAGACGGTCTATTAGTTGAGAAGGGTGGGAATGAGAAGGAAGGGTATCTCCGGGTGGATGATATCCGGAATCGAAAGGGCAATGCCACCAGTCAGGAGAGCAAGGTGCTAATGAGGAAGCCCATCGTGCATGTGGACGGGAGGGCGATTATTCCCAGCAACGTATGGCCGAGTCCGGACTTGAAGAAGGTGCTGTTGATATCAGAGCAGCAGAAGAACTGGAGGCACTCGTTCACCGGGAAGTATTGGGTGTTGGACGTGGATTCTCAGACAGCGCAGCCGCTGGATCCCAGTGCTCCGGATGGTCGAGTGCAGCTTGCGCTTTGGTCTCCTGCCTCTGATGCGGTCGTCTTTGTTCGGGACAACAATTTGTATCTGCGGAGATTGTCGTCGGAGAGCGTTGTCGCGATTACCAAGGAGGGCGGGGAGAACCTTTTCTACGGTGTTCCCGATTGGGTGTATGAGGAGGAGGTGATATCGGGGAACAGCGTCACATGGTGGTCCACTGACGCCAAATATATCGCTTTCTTCAGGACAAATGAGACGAATGTGCCCGAGTTCCCGGTCCAGTACTACATCTCGCGGCCATCGGGGAAGAAGCCTCTCCCGGGGTTGGAGAATTACCCCGACGTGAGGGAGATCAAATATCCCAAGTCTGGTGCCCCGAACCCAGTTGTCGACCTGCAGTTCTATGATGTCGAGAAGAACGAGGTCTTCTCCGTCGAAGTAGCGGACGACTTTGCCGACGATGACCGCATCATCATTGAGGTTCTGTGGGCCTCCGAGGGCAAGGTCCTCGTGAGATCGACCAACCGCGAAAGCGACATTCTCAAGGTGTATCTGATCGACACCAAGTCCAGAACAGGTAAACTGGTGAGATCCGATGACATTGCCAGTCTTGACGGTGGTTGGGTTGAGCCTTCGCAATCCACACGCTTCATCCCGGCGGACCCCAATAATGGACGACCATACGACGGGTACATCGACACCGTGCCGTACAACGGATACGACCACCTCGCATACTTCACGCCACTCGATAGCCCCAACCCCCTGATGCTCACGTCGGGCGAGTGGGAAGTGGTGAACGCACCAGCTGCCGTAGATCTGCAACGCGGCCTGGTGTACTTCGTCGGGACGAGGGAAGCACCCACCCAGCGCCATGTCTACCGGGTGCAGCTGGATGGGTCGAATCTTAAGCCTTTGACCGACACTTCCAAACCAGGCTATTATGACGTCTCCTTCTCATCCGGCACAGGCTACGCGCTTCTCACATACAAAGGGCCTTCTATTCCCTGGCAGGCGATCATCAACACGCAAGGCGATGAAATCACCTATGAAGACCGCATCGAAGAGAACGAACAGCTTAGCAAGATGGTAGAGGCGTACGCGGTCCCGACTGAAGTCTACCAAAACGTCACTGTCGACGGCTACACGCTGCAACTCGTCGAGCGCCGCCCCCCACACTTCAACCCGGCCAAGAAGTACCCAGTCCTGTTTTATCTGTATGGCGGACCGGGCTCGCAGACCGTGGACCGTCAGTTCGCCGTTGATTTCCAGTCCTACGTCGCCTCCAGCCTGGGCTACATCGTCGTGACCGTCGACGGTCGCGGCACAGGCTACATCGGCCGCAAGGCCCGGTGCATCGTCCGCGGCAACTTAGGCTTTTACGAGGCGCACGATCAAATCGCCACCGCAAAGATGTGGGCGGCGAAACCGTACGTCGATGAAACCCGCATGGCGATCTGGGGATGGAGCTTCGGCGGATTCATGACGCTGAAGACCCTCGAACAAGACGCTGGCCAGACCTTCCAGTACGGAATGGCCGTTGCACCTGTTACAGATTGGCGGTTCTACGGTATTCTTTCCCCTGCGTTTTTTACTCATAACATACCATACTAACTGATTCAGACTCAATCTACACAGAGCGATACATGCACACCCCGCAGCATAATCCTAGCGGGTACGACAACTCGAGCATAACCGACATGGCCGCCCTGTCTGAGAGCGTCCGCTTCCTCGTCATGCACGGCGCGTCGGACGATAACGTCCATATCCAGAATACTCTTGTGTTAATCGACAAGCTGGACTTGTCGAACGTCGAGAACTACGATCTGCAGTTCTACCCGGACTCGGATCATAGTATTTACTTTCACAACGCACACAGCATGGTCTACGAGCGTATGTCCCCCCCCTTCTGATACCTGTGTCGAGTACTGTGTACGAAATACTAATCGGAACAGGTCTTTCGAACTGGCTCGTCAACGCGTTTAACGGAGAGTGGCATCGGATAGCGAAGCCCGTGCCGGACGAGTCAATGTGGGAGCGTATGAGGCGGTCGCTGCCCCTGCCTCTGTTTGCACATTAACTGTATCTTTATCTTAGGGTATCTATATAAACTTCTAGTATAGCCTTACGTCGACCGATGTATGTAATTCAAATGAAGAAAGTGTATATTCAATCACGCTATGCAAACTATAAACACAATGCTATGCAACAACTCTTTTGGGGTAATGCGATGCGGCTTCGCCTTTATACATTAATTTCTGCAGTGCACGCAGTACATGATAATAACAGGGTAAAGTAAGGAAGGACATAGACATGCATGCATGTATATACAGCCAGCCAGCCAGTCAGTCATCATAGTCCAGACCGGTATGATATGTGCAATAGGGTAGGGTAGGTATAGATGTGACGCGGCGCGATCATTTACTGCCGTTGCTGCTGCCGCTGCCGCCGTTACTACCCTCCAAAGACTTGAAGATACTCGACTGCATAAACTCCTCCCGCATATGCAGACTGACATCCGAGTTCCGGTACGGATGGGGTTCCTCGCGCTGCAGACCACGCAGCTGCTCGCGGCCCAGCGTGGAGATGGAGCGGGCATGCGAATGCCGGTGCCGATTGAACGCCGGGGAGAGGCGGCCAGACGGCGACAGCCTGCCTGTCGGTGTGACTGCTCCCGAAGCATCAAAGGAGAGGGTCTGCCGCGGTGCGAAAACAGGGAGGGATGCGTTGCCTGGCAGCGCCATGAAAGACTCGGAGTCTGTGGCGGTGGAGAAGTTACTGAAGGAGGAGCGGATGGAGGCGGGGCGGGTGAGCGGGAGCATGGGGTAGCCCGAGACGGTGGAGTAGAGGGTTGACATGCCGGAGGCGGCGGAGGAGCGCCAGGAGTGGACAGCGCTCTGGGGGATGGTGATGACTTCCTCCTCGATGGGGTCTGCGTGCTGGAGGGCGGCGGCGATGTCGAGGGGTTCGGCGAGGGCTTCGCCGCCAGCAGCGGCGCGGGCAGCCATCGTCTTTGCGGCCTTGCCGATCCAGAGCATCTGCTCGTGTTCGCGCAGGTAGCGGTCGCCGCTGAAGGACTTTTGGACGATGTTGCGGGTCATCATGCCGAGTTTGCGGCGGTGTTCGCTCTTCTCGTACATGCGGCGGGTGATTTTAGCGACGTCTTCGGGGGTCGGGGACGAGGTGAGGACGGGGGCGGGCTCGGTGTCGTCGGTGTATTGGGCCCATTCGCCGAGGAGGGCGAGCATGGTGATTTGGGCGCGGGCGAGGGCGAGCGCGTCGTTGGGGGCGACGACCGCGCTGAAGCGGGAGAAGTCGTCGGGGTCGCTGAGGACGCGGAGGGAGGCGCCGACGTCGGTGCAGACGACGGGGGCGCCGGTTAGGGCGGCCTCGCCGAGGGCTAGGGGGAGACCCTCGGAGAGGGAGGAGTTCAGGAACAGCCAGGTGTTTTCGAGGACTTTCAT